CATTACGCTAACTGCTGGTTCCCAAGGGCATTAGTTTGGTAATGACTTCCATTTGCTGCCCACTGATGTTAAGAAACAGCATACACATTTTATCCAGCTGGCTCTGAAGAGTGTGGCTGTGTAAGAGACACTTTTCAGGAGGTAAACAGTGTTGAGAGATAAATGTCACTGCCCTATTTCAAAGTTATTGGAAAAAGCAAAAGTCATCTCCTAGAGGGATTAACTTTTTATTTTTGGCCTTGCTATTATTGTATATATTTTTTAATTCCTCTGTGCATTAGGATTTTAAATCATTGGAATAAATTCTATTTGTGTGGATTAAAAGGACTCAACAGATGCCACATGGTGGAGTATTACTACCTCAAGGAAGGAGACTAGAGGGCCAGCCTCTTAGCTTAGATGTTAAGGGAGCTACAACCCACATGGCTGACTCTGAACCCGCTCATAGGAGAGGCTTAAGACATTTTGATAAGTAAAGAATGAATGAGAGGGGAATTTAGGAACGGTAGAGGAAGAGATGAAGCAGAAAGGAAATGATCCAGGGCCGTCTCCATGGCCTGGTGGTTAAGGCAGCTGGATGCCACACAGCTGACTGTGAAACTCAAATCCTGGCCCAGGATGGCCTGAAAGACATGCAGAGTGCATGTGTGTACATGCCCAAAACCCAACAGTGATTTTTTTTTTTTTGAGAGGTTTTTGCTTTAGGGCGCGCACGCTCGCCAGACAGACAGAGAGAGACAGAGAGACAGAGAGACAGAAAGCAGGAAATCACCCCCCGGGGAGATGGCCACGCCGCAATCCCTTCTCCTCCATTCTCCTCTCGGGATCTTGGGCACACACGCATACGCGCCTGGCGTGAGTTTAAGCTACCGGGTCCAGGACTCGAACCATGGTCGACTACGTGGGAGTCCAGCGACATAGCCATTACGCTAACTGCTGGTCCCAACAGTGATTTTTTTAAAACAAATTATTTTATTTAACTTCATGTATTCATTTATTTTCATTTGACTGGAGAGGGACAGAGAAAGAGACTGAGAAAGCAAGCCACCAGGTCTAGGACTTGAACCGTGGTAGGCCATGTGGGAGTCCTGCACCTTACATGCCACCTGCCAGCACCCCCCCCAACAGGGATTTAAATCCTCTAAACATTACCAGCTACTATGACTACAAAGAATGCAGTTAAGTACTTCAAATCTAAAGTTTGTAAATGGAGTCTCACCACCTCTGTCAACAGATCCTCGAGTTCTCCTGCATGGGGAGCAGCTAGGACTGCAGGAGCCACCGTCAGATCACTTCCTAAGCGGGATACACATGGGAGGGAGGAGAAGGGGGAAGATCTAGGGTAATTGTGTCTCCATTTCCTACCCGGAAATGAGACTTTTTAAAAAGTTTATTTTTTCCATGAGCAAGACTGAGAACAAGAGAGAAAGACAGCACTCCCAACAGGGCATTGATGCTGCAGTCTACCTCCAACTTCGGCCAGCCTCAGATCAGGGGCAAGCATGTACTTGCATATTCAAGGAGGTCTCCGGACATGAGCCTGGAACCTTCCACATGGGTCAGCCTTGCAAAGCACCACATTTTACCGCTGTGCCACTGTCCTGCTCTGCAACTTTTGTTTGTTTGTTTTAGTTAAAATTGCTGGTGTAAGTAATTAAGATGACTGCTCTGCAGCAGTAAGTGGTTACGTGTTCATTTCCTTGTAGGTGAGCTGTTGGTAAATGGCCACAAAACCTGAGCAGTTGCCTAAAGTTCCTAACAGTCACTAGAAGCGTTCACTAGAACTTGATTAAAGATGAACCCTTTGTCACATGGGAACTGTAGCTTCCCTCTTTGCCTCTCAGAGTTCCCAAGACATTTCAAGGGTACTTCCTAACAGGTTCATTATTATTGTTTATTCTGTTATTTAGAAGACAGCGATACCTTGATTTTTGTGTTACTACAAATGACTTTTTTTTTTTTTTTTAATGAGAAAGCACCCCCATGGGGATTGGTCATGCCACAGTTCCTTCTGCTCCATCTCGTCCTCCTTTCTGGATTTTGGGTACACGTGCACACGCACCCGGTGTGTTTTCCAAGCTGCAGCTCTAATGGCGCAGTCAGCCATGTGGGATCCAGCTGCCTTAACCACCATGCCACCAGCTGACCTGCTAAAAGTGACTTTTTAAAAATATGCTGGCACTCATAGCTGACTTTTGAATGATGCTTAATTCTGCATTTGGAGAAAGTACACCTGGCCGTGACAAGGAAGGCCTATTTAGCTACAAATGGGTACCATTTGGCATAAGGACATTTACATGGGGTACAACAAATATATTCTGCTACCTGAGTAAGGAGAGGGCCTCCAAGAAATCCAGTCCCTCTGGGTGGCGTAGTCAGGTGACTTTGTACAGTCAAATGGAGGGGGAAAAATCAAATGGCAGGGCTGGCATAATTATCATTTGCTCATTTTTTCTGATTAGAGTTAGAACTGCTAGTGAAAAGTGTTTGTGTCCTTTTGTGATAGAGAGAGCAATTTAAAAAGAAAAAGGACAGACTCCTGAAACTGGAAGGAAGTGACATTTGGGACCATTTCTGGAAGCAGTGCCAGTGAAGACCTAGCACAGTCTCCCCACAGGGTCACTGTCTCCCCCCCACAAGCTCTTTTGTGGATTTGTGTTAGTAGGCTATACATACACATAGGGCATATTATGCATTTATTAAATACATTATAACATCTTAGGGGTTTCTCATGACGAATAACATTTCTTTTTTTCTTTGTTTAAGTTTATTAATTTATTCTATGAGCAAGAGAGAGAGGGCACTGTCAATGGGGTCTTGACACCAGGATCCTCCCCCAGTCTCGGCCAGCCCTGGGTCATGGACACATGAGCGCCTGCCATGGTCAGGGAGGCCTCTGGATGTGCATTCAGAACCCTCCTGTGTGGGTCAACCTTGCAAAGCTTGGAGGTTCCCACTGTCCTTCACCATCTGTCCCCCACCATTTCTTTTTCAGCTCTAGTCGTAATAAACCAAACAGCTTTTTATTTCCGTTTTCCATTTTGAACTGAAGGCAACCAGCTGGCAGACAGCAAGATGGGACACATATTCCCAAAAGAAGCCAGATGTCACCCAGATTTCACAGAGGAATCTGCATTATGGAAGGTTTCGATCAGAGACAACGCTAATGAAGGACAAAACACGCCTGCCCTCTTGTTTCCACATTACTTACACTAGGGCCAAAGCAACTTTGAGTAAAAATAGAGGGAAGGCAGGGGAGAACATCACCAGAACCTCCAGTGCCTGTTTTCCGGGAAACTATGCATTAATATCTGCCTAAAGTTCCTAACAGTCACTAGAAGCGTTCACTAGAACTTGATTAAAGATGAACCCTTTGTCACATGGGAACTGTAGCTTCCCTCTTTGCCTCTCAGAGTTCCCAAGACATTTCAAGGGTACTTCCTAACAGGTTCATTATTATTGTTTATTCTGTTATTTAGAAGACAGCGATACCTTGATTTTTGTGTTACTACAAATGACTTTTTTTTTTTTTTTTTAATGAGAAAGCACCCCCATGGGGATTGGTCATGCCACAGTTCCTTCTGCTCCATCTCGTCCTCCTTTCTGGATTTTGGGTACACGTGCACACGCACCCGGTGTGTTTTCCAAGCTGCAGCTCTAATGGCGCAGTCAGCCATGTGGGATCCAGCTGCCTTAACCACCATGCCACCAGCTGACCTGCTAAAAGTGACTTTTTAAAAATATGCTGGCACTCATAGCTGACTTTTGAATGATGCTTAATTCTGCATTTGGAGAAAGTACACCTGGCCGTGACAAGGAAGGCCTATTTAGCTACAAATGGGTACCATTTGGCATAAGGACATTTACATGGGGTACAACAAATATATTCTGCTACCTGAGTAAGGAGAGGGCCTCCAAGAAATCCAGTCCCTCTGGGTGGCGTAGTCAGGTGACTTTGTACAGTCAAATGGAGGGGGAAAAATCAAATGGCAGGGCTGGCATAATTATCATTTGCTCATTTTTTCTGATTAGAGTTAGAACTGCTAGTGAAAAGTGTTTGTGTCCTTTTGTGATAGAGAGAGCAATTTAAAAAGAAAAAGGACAGACTCCTGAAACTGGAAGGAAGTGACATTTGGGACCATTTCTGGAAGCAGTGCCAGTGAAGACCTAGCACAGTCTCCCCACAGGGTCACTGTCTCCCCCCCACAAGCTCTTTTGTGGATTTGTGTTAGTAGGCTATACATACACATAGGGCATATTATGCATTTATTAAATACATTATAACATCTTAGGGGTTTCTCATGACGAATAACATTTCTTTTTTTCTTTGTTTAAGTTTATTAATTTATTCTATGAGCAAGAGAGAGAGGGCACTGTCAATGGGGTCTTGACACCAGGATCCTCCCCCAGTCTCGGCCAGCCCTGGGTCATGGACACATGAGCGCCTGCCATGGTCAGGGAGGCCTCTGGATGTGCATTCAGAACCCTCCTGTGTGGGTCAGCCTTGCAAAGCTTGGAGGTTCCCACTGTCCTTCACCATCTGTCCCCCACCATTTCTTTTTCAGCTCTAGTCGTAATAAACCAAACAGCTTTTTATTTCCGTTTTCCATTTTGAACTGAAGGCAACCAGCTGGCAGACAGCAAGATGGGACACATATTCCCAAAAGAAGCCAGATGTCACCCAGATTTCACAGAGGAATCTGCATTATGGAAGGTTTCGATCAGAGACAACGCTAATGAAGGACAAAACACGCCTGCCCTCTTGTTTCCACATTACTTACACTAGGGCCAAAGCAACTTTGAGTAAAAATAGAGGGAAGGCAGGGGAGAACATCACCAGAACCTCCAGTGCCTGTTTTCCGGGAAACTATGCTTTAATATCTTTAGGAGGCACGTGCGTTCAGGGGTTGAACTGCCAAGGATGCTATGGTAACCCCCCTCTCTTCTCTGCTTCTCATCTCTTTCTCTCCCCCATCCCTTCTCTTTCCCCCTACCGACAGTTCGTGGCTCACCCCAACTGCCAGCAGCAGCTCCTGACCATCTGGTACGAGAACCTCTCGGGCCTGCGGGAACAGACCGTGGCCATCAAGTGTCTGGTCGTGCTGGTCGTGGCCTTGGGCCTTCCATTCCTCGCCATCGGCTACTGGATCGCACCATGCAGCAGGGTACTGGCTGTCCACACCCGTTTCCTCTGTGGTTGGTGTACCGTGTCCCTCGGGATGCAAAGAGAGGAGCTTTGTACTTAAGATTCTTAGCAGTTTTACCCTAAATGTTCATGAACTCAGGAACACAGATGCTGCGTGTAAGGACTCCATCCATTCAAATAGTGGGTGAAGGAAGGATTTGGTGCTGGGGCAGACATCACATCTGCAGGTGTAAAATACTTCGGCCCTTCAGGTAGAATCCCCGAGGCAGGCAGAGAGGAGGAAAAGTGGCTTGAGTGAAGTGCACTTAGGCTGACTCTGTTGACAGTTGAGTAAGTAGAACTTCTCCTGGGCCTCCCTGTGGAAGGAACAGGCACAGGTAGTCTGTTGTAGTAACACCAAGAAATAGCTAACTCGGGCGGGAACTAGAAGGAGCAACTCATTGGAATCTGCCAGAAGAAATCGGAGGTCGAATGGAGTAAGGGCAGGTGAGAAGAGTGGCAGTAGCCGAAGTCTCAAAGAAAGCGTGTGTCATTCCCCCAGCCCTATGTTCCTTCAGAAGGTTCTAAAAAATGTAGAATTTGAGTTTGGGGCATTGGGATATGTTTGATTATTTCATCTTGTTTAGATTGTTTTGTTTGCTGCCTTTATTCCCCTCTCAGCTTGTCAGTTAGACTCAAGTCAGCTCAGGGATCCCCCAGACAAGATGTGGGGAGGAGTGCTGACTCTGCTCACGGTTAATGAAGGCCACTCCAGTGAGAAGGGCCCATTCTGATCCTTTAATCCTGTTGTTAGATTCCAAAACCCGGTTTTGTTTAAATCAGAGGCAGTTTCAGGCAAAATGAGTCAAGGTCACTTAACAAATGACCCTGGAAATCCATCAGCTCTCTGGCTTAGCGGTCTCCGGGCACAGGCCTCCTCCACAGGCGCCATGTGTGTATGCGAGTATTTATCCACCTCACTCCTTGTCAAGTTGCCCTTGTGCAGTTTAAGGCAGAAAGTTTGTCATTTTGATCAAGTTTGATGACTCCGTTCTTTTGTTCTGTATCATGGAAAACTAAAGTTCCTCAAATACACAGACACTAGAGACTAAAAACTGTAAGTAAAATGGGCATACAATTAAAAAAATCATATCCCACCCGAATAATTCCTCTTCCTAGAGAAAATGAATGAGAAAGTTTGGATTTGCAAGTGTTTGTCTTTTAGGGCAACTTCATCAGTTAAGACATTGTATCAGGTTCACAGTCGGCATCTTTCGGTCTACTCTTCATTTGTAAAAGTGCAACTGACAGTGCAGTGAGACCTGCCCAGGAGAGAAGGGAAATGTGGGAACTGGACCATTTCCTGAATGCGCCTTTAAGGCAGACGTATACTGCCTACCCAACAGTGAAAACGCAGCCCAGCAAATCCTTTCTACGTAGCTCACACTTGCAAGATAAGCAAGTTGCTTTTATTTATTTATTTATTTTAGCTTTTTGCCATAGGGTGTGTGTGCTCGAGACAGAACAGGAAGGTGAGAAATCATCCCTCCTCAGGGGGAATGGTCACACTGCAATCCCTTCTCTTCCATTCTTCTCTCAGGATTTGGGGCATACATGCATATGTGTTCTGTGTCTTTTTCAAGCCACTGGGTCTGAGACTCAAATCATGGAGTTGGCCGTTTGGGATCCAGTGCCTTAACCACCACGTTGCTTGCTAACCCTTTTTTAAAATTTGCCAGAGGATGCATTCCTCACTGAAGAGAGAAGGGGGGAGGGGGAGCCCCACCCCCTCAAGTCCTATGGGGTATGGCTATGCTATGGTCCTTTCTCCTCCATTTCTCTCTCCTGTTGGAATTTTGGGCATGCATGCACACACTCCCAGCATGTTTCTTAAGACTCTGGGTCTAACACCTGAACAGTTGGCCATGTAGGATCCAGCTGCCTTAACCCCCAGGTCACATGGCTGACCGCAGTTTGAGTCCTGGACCTGGCAGCTTGCTTTCTCAGTTTCTCTCACTCACTCTGTCCTTCTCTGGTCAAATTAATATAAAGTTAAATAAAATAATTCTTTAAAAAAAAAAAAGATCAGCCTTCAGGAGAAATAAACTGGCAACTCCCAGGAAATGTCTCTGTGCTGTGGCTAAGCTACCCCAGATGTGCCCCCTCTACAGCTGTGGAAGAGCAGACTGAAGTGCAAACGTGTTGTTGATTATTGTTCTGTCTCTCATATGGAAAATGCCACGTTTGTCTGCATACACTCATGTCCAGTCCCAGAATCACATGACATTCTTTGGTCATTTGTTGATATCAAGTTAAAGTTCTGGACGTACAAAAACATTTGTTTAAAGTTCATCTTTTAAATGGGAACCTCGGTACTTTTTCAGGTCACAGACTGAGCTGAAAAACAGCGTCTGAATGTGTAGAATAGAGGACGTATTTGATAAATCTACCAAATGTACCTAATCCTTGGACTGTGAAAGCCCTTGGGACAGGAGGAATTGTTTTTCATTTGTACTAGGACATGGGACTTTTAAGGACATGGTTTCACGGGGGATTTTTAAGGAGTCACCTTAAAATAATTATAAACTGAACTTTCGAAGTGCTTGTATGTGGTTTTCAAAACCCAGAGATGACTTTTAATTAAGTTAACCTACTTAGGGGTTTTAATTATAGTGTATTGCCCTCTCCTTAGTCTGGTAGTAACAGATAAACTCTTTACCTTGATTCTAATACTTTCGACTTTTTTTAATATCATATAAGATACAACTTGACTTTGGACTATTTAGCAATTAGAATTTAAATTTGCTAATGTAGTGATAGTAGTACCTTTTTCAATCTGCAAGGGGCTTTTAATGTGTGATATGGCTCTACAAACTCATAACATCTCACTCTCTTAGCAGTAATTACTTAGGACAGGTTTGAGGTTTCTTTTCCTGGACTGTGAAAACCTTGATGTGGCCTAGTCTTTCATGTAGAAAAGACAGCAAAAGTCAGTACATGTCCTCTGGTTACTGGAAGTGCATCTGTGAGTGTGGTATATCTGAGGACAAACTGAATATTGATAAACAATGAGTTTTGAGGACTTGTTAAATTACTTTTAGAAGAAGTACCCCTTAAAAGGAACAGTTGTCACTATGGGTAGCTCTTCAGAAGCAAAAGCAGAATGTTTAGGATTCTCATTTCATGTACTTTTTAAAAAAGATTTTCCCCCCATAATATGTGTGCACTTACTGGAGAGAGACACACAGAGACAGAGAGAGAGGAAGTGAGAAATCATCCCCCAAGGGGCATGTCCATGCCACAGTCCCTTCTCCTCCATTCTCGTCTTGAAATTGTGGGCATGCATGCACACACATGCGCCTGGCCTGATTTTCAAGCTGCCAGGCCCAGGACTTGAAATGCGGTTGGCCGTGTGGGAGTCCAGCGTCTTAACTATCATACCACCTGCTGGCCCTGGAAGCCAGATTTTCTAAAGCAGAATTTTTCTCATGCTTTGGTTTGTCATATCAATATCACAGCTGGGGAGAATCCTGCGAAGCCCTTTCATGAAGTTCGTGGTGCACGCTACTTCCTTCATCATCTTCCTGGGCCTGCTTGTGTTCAATGCCTTGGACAGGTTCAAAGGCATCACCACGCTGCCGAACATCACTGTCATCGACTACCCCAAGCAGATCTTCAGGGTAAAAACTACCCAGTTCACATGGACCGAAATGCTCATCATGGTCTGGGTTCTTGGTAAGCTTTTTGGTACCTTAATTTCTACTAAAAAATTATATAAATGATCATCCTTTCCTTTGAAAAATGTCATTGTACTTTTTTGAATAGCAACCTCACCATGGTAAGATAAGTTAAATAGCCAGTGTTGAATACTTTGGTAGCTAGATAATGCTAAAAGGTAAAGATATCGTTTAATGATAAATAGAATTTCTTAGGAGTAGCAGGAGCCTGATTGCAGACATATCATGTTTCAGAAATCCAACTCAAAAAAAAAAAAAAAACGAAAAACAAATAAATAAATCCAACTTCACTTAATGAACAAAATGGAAATTTTTAAATACGACTCCTTGTGGTGATCAATTATTCAACTGAAACACTTGTGGAATAACCCAGTGGCCATTAGCTAATGACTAAGGAACTTTTATATTGCCTTTTTTTCTTTTTAATGACAAAGTGTGGGTGCATAAACAAGAGACAGAGAGAAAGAGAGGGGGCACCCTTCCCATGGTCATACTGCAATCTCTTTTTCTCCATTTCTCAATCCTGTTGGGATTTGGGGCATGCATGAGCATGCACTGGGCATATTTTTTTAAGCCCTATTTTTTTTTTTTTGAGAGGTTTCGCTATAGGGCGTGTGCACTCGCCAGACAGACAGAGAGAGACATAGAGACAAAAAGGGAGAAATCACCCCCCCAGGGGGGATGGTCACACCGTAATCCCTTCTCCTCCATTCTCCTCTCGGGATCTTGGGCACACACGCACACGCGCCTGGCGTGAGTTTAAGCCACCAGGTCTGGGACGCGAACCTCCGTCGACTACGTGGGAGTCCAGCGACATAGCCATTACGCTAACTGCTGGTTCCCTTTAAGCCCTTTTTAAGCCACCAGAGGGAGATCTGAGCCATGGTTGGCCATGAAGGATCTGGTTTTCTGTGCACAGCACTTAACCACTGTACTGCAGGGCCAGCCTAGAACAGAATTCCACCTGACTTATTTTCTTCCCTCCTTTCTACCCCACCCCATGAATAGTGATATTTCTGATGCCACAGGTAGAATGTGTTTCTCCAAACTCTGACTTGGCAGGCGAAGCATCCCTTTAATGGAAGCATCTTTCCCGTTGAACTCTGCCCAGGGCCTTGGTAACCATGCAGGCAGTTGCCGCATTGGGACGCTGCGTGCTGGCTCTACATCCAGGGCCTTTGTTAGCTGTGTCCTGAAGGGGGCGCCATAGCGGCTGTGCAGTCCGAGCTATACAATCACGTCTTGCCTGCCATGTTTGTTGCGACAGGAATGATGTGGTCCGAGTGTAAGGAGCTCTGGCTGGAAGGACCTAGGGAGTACATTTTGCAGTTATGGAATGTGCTCGACTTCGGGATGCTCTCCATCTTCATTGCCGCTTTCACGGCCAGATTCCTCGCTTTCCTCCAGGCCACGAAAGCACAACAGTACGTGGACAGTTACGTCCAGGAGAGCGACCTCAGCGAAGTTACGCTCCCGCCAGAGATCCAGTATTTCACGTACGGTACGTGGGTAGCTGTGGGCTCCGGGACCGGGATGGGAACCACATTTTGGAGGAAAGGCCAGTATGAGGAGAGGCGTATGGAATGTGTACGGGCAGTGGAGCTTTGGAGCTCTGCAAAGCTGGATTCACATCAAGGCTATGACTCCCTTGCTGTGTGACCTCGTTCAACATAAATTGCTTCTCTGTGCCTCCGCTCTTACGTCTATGAAAGGAAGCTGTTGCAAGGTGGGAAAGATCATCTTTAAGCCTAGTAATAGAAGTACTCCAGGAAAAGGAGACGGTCTTAATCTAGGGGGGGAGTAGCTTGATAAACTGCTTGATATCAGTGGTGGGTCCCTGAGAATAAGGGATGATGAGATTAACTGCTCTGTAAGTGAAGTGAGAGCAAAAATGCTCCAGAGGCAGGAAGTAGACACTAACCCAGTGTGAGAATGTGAGCTCTGGGGAACCAGCAGTTAGCGTAATGGCTATGTCGCTGGACTCCCACGTAGTCGACCGCGGTTCGTGTCCCGGACCCGGTGGCTTAAAACTCACACCGGGCGCGTGTGCGTGTGTGCCCAAGATCCCGAGAGGAGAATGGAGGAGAAGGGATTGTGGCGTGACCATCCCCCCTGGGGGGTGATTTCTCGCTTTCTGTCTCTATGTCTCTCTGTCTGTCTGGCGAGCGCACGCGCCCTACAGTGAAAATCTCTCAAAAAAAAAAAAAAAAAAGAATGTGAGCTCTGGAAAACTGGTAAAAATGTGGGGGAAGATGTGCTTTTTCACGTGACGTGGAATGGGGTTCACACCTGCTTCTCTGTCACATGAGGTGTGGGGAGACCTCAGTACCTTCCTGCCCAGCACAAAGCAATGTTAGTAACATCAGCCTCCCTTCTCTGGAGGCTAAATTGAGCTGCAATTAGCAAATTTCCATCTAGTTGTAAAAAAATTAAAGCTGGAAAAGACTTTAGAAATGATCTAACCTTCTGTTTTACAGGTAAGGAGACTACTGAACAGAGTGGGAATGTGTTCAGGGTGTGAAAAATAAATCTTTATCAGTGTAATTAGGGCATATGTAGTGGTGAGTACAAGCTGTGTGTTAATTAGCATTATCGAAGAAGGTTGGGCTCCAGTTCAAAACAGGAATGTAAATTCCAGACTATGAAATCTGAACACTATTAGCTGTTATTTTCAATAAGAAAAGAGCTTTAGATACCTACCAGGGAGACCCATGCCAATGAGCAAATGATCACCATTTATAATGAAAGAATGAACTTAGATCATATTTTTGTGTGATATACATTGTGACTATTTTGATAACTTGTTTAAATTTATTCATTTATTTATAAATGTATTCATATTATTTATTTAACAACTATTACCTGGAGGGGATTTGTAATTTCAGCCTTCCCTACTTCCTATAATGTATAATTTTCTTTTCTTTTTTTTTTTTTTTTTTTTGAGGGTTTTTCGCTCTGGGGCACGTGCGCCCCTTTTTTTTTTGGAGAGGTTTTCGCTCTAGGGCACGTGCGCTCACCAGACAGAGAGAGACATAGAGACAGAAAGTGAGAAATCACCACCCCCAGAGGGGGATGGTCACACCACAATCCCTTCTCCTCCATTCTCCTCTCGGGATCTTGGGCACACACGCACAAGCGCCTGATGTGAGTTTAAGCCACCGGGTCCGGGACGCGAACCGCGGTCAACTATGTGGGAGTCCAGCAACATAGCCATTACGCTAACTGCTGGTTCCCTATATAATAGTTTTGATCAAGTTTTTAATCTTTTTTTTTTTTTAAAGAGAGATTTTTATTATAGGGCACTTGTGCTTCCTGGAGAGAGAGAGGCAGAGACAGAAAGCCAGAAGTCATCCCTCAGGGGGGATGGTCATGCCCCAATCCCTTCTCTTCCATTCTCCTCTCAGGATTTTGTGTTTTAAGCCACCAGGTCCGGGACTCAAACTGCAGTCTATTACATGGGAGTCCAGTGATGTAACCATTACGCCATCTCCTGCTCCCATGTTTTTAGTCTTTTAATGCTCTGGATTCTACATCTCTAAATGGAATAATAACTTTAAATCCACCCACCATTTGACAGAGGTGTCTGACACCTAGTAAACATCCCCAAATCATTCCTTTTTATTATTATTGCAAATGGCTACAATGTATGCCTCTTTAGGGGGACTGACCCAGTTCCCACTAAGGTAACAAGTTAACCACAGAGTGTTTCACTGACCTACAAAGGAAATGGGTTTGTTGTGCACTTCACCAGTGATTTTGAAATGGTTGTGAGGGGTTCTCATATGCAATATTGTTTCCTTCATTCATGGTAGAACAGATAGCCCAGCCAGAGAGAGGCTTACCCTTTCTTCCTTCAGCTCTCCATCCGAGCTGAATCTGATCTCTGCTGTATCCACTTCTCCCTCCTTTCTTCTCCCAGGCTGCTGCTGAGACCAGGATTCAAACCCCATTTAACCATGTGGGATCCGGCTTTCTCTGCATGGTGCCCCATCACAGCACTACAGGACTCGCTCAGAATCCTTATCCAATATTTTGCACTTTGGTGGCATTTGGCATTTTTCAGGAACCAGTTATATTGCTCAGAGGTCACATCGTGGCACCTTTGTGATTCAGTGACATTCCCGGTCCTCGCCATGTGACATTTTACTTGCGTAAAATGTTAGATGAGCTGATTTCTCATAAGATATGAAAAAGGAGTTTCTCTCCAGCTGTGCCTGCGGGATGATAAAACAACAGGTCAATAATCTGATAACCGACAGGACAAATCGTTCCAGTGAGCTGTTTTGTCGTCCTGGTCCGGTTCACATTAAGTGTTTTAACCTTTTCTTTGTCGTTTGTATTTTGTTCTGTTTCTGCTCAATGTGAAGTCAACTTAGTATCTTTTTTTTTTTTTTTTTAATCATTTTGCCTACAAGGCATCCATGGATATCCAATTCTTAAAACACTCATCAGTTCCTTCTTTTTTTTAGATTCATTTACTTGGGACCAGCAGATGGAGTAATGGTTAAATTGCTGGACTCCCATGTAGTCGACTGCGATTTGAATCCCGGACCCAGCAGCTTAAAACTCATGCCAGGTGCATGAGTGTGCATGCCTAAAATCCCACCAGGAGAAAGGATTTCAGCATAGCCATTGCCCTTGGGGGGGAGGGGGGTGATGTCTCACTTTCTGTCTCCCTGTCTCTCCAGTGAGTGCACACACTCTATAGCAAAAATCTCTCTCTCTCTCAAAAAAACAGAGACTTATTTATTTAAATTTATTTATCATTCTTCTTCTTCTTTAGTTTGGTTTAGGGCACGTGTGCTAATGAGAGAGAGAGAGAAATTGAGAAAGCAAGCCTCCAGGTCTGGGCTCAAACCATGGTCAACCATGTGGGCGTCTAACGCCTTAACCACCACACCACCTGTTGACTACTAGCTTAGTAGATTTATAATAGTGTTTCCTTCATTTAAAATAATGGAGACTTTCTGTTTCTGGTTTAACATGAAAATACTGCTTGAACAAGTAGTTCAATTTATAGTAGTTCCAACTGAGAGAACCACCTACCTATAAGATAGATCCTAGTTAAGGTGTTACTTTGCATAGTTAGTAATGAATCAAAACACTCTCTTCATTTGATTTTAATCTCTTTCTTTCTTTTTTTCTAGCTAGAGATAAATGGCTCCCTTCCGACCCTCAGATCATATCCGAAGGTCTTTACGCCATAGCTGTCGTGCTCAGCTTCTCACGAATCGCATACATCCTCCCGGCAAACGAGAGCTTCGGCCCCTTGCAGATCTCTCTTGGAAGGACTGTGAAGGACATTTTCAAGTTCATGGTCCTTTTTATTATGGTGTTTCTTGCCTTTATGATTGGCATGTTCATACTGTATTCTTACTACCTTGGGGCTAAAGTTAATGCTGCTTTTACCACGTAAGTAAAACATCTTATTAGAAAGGTGTAACAAAGAAACAAGTCTAAAAGAAGCAAGGGGAACTTTTCCATGGTTATAATAAAGCTATTTTAAGAGCAGAGGGGAATGAAAAGAGTAGTTAAGAGTAGGTAGGGCTAGACCAACAGATAGTGTAATGATGACGTCCCTGGATTCCCACATAGTCAATCACAGTTTGAGTCCTGGACCCGGCAGCCTAAAACTCAAGTCAGGTACATGTGTGTGAGTGCCCAAAATCCTGAGAGGAGAATGGAGGAGAAGGGACTGTGGCATGGCCATCCCCTGAGGGTGTGTGTGTGTGTGTGTGTGTGTGTGTGCGTGTGATTTCTCACTTTTTGTCTCCCTGCTTCTCTCTCTCTTGCAAGCATACACACTCTATAGCTACATCCTCGCTACAAAAAAAAAAAAAGTGGTGTAGTTAGGGCTTGTGGGACCAGCAGATAATATAGTGGTTACATCGCTGGACTTCCTTGTCATTGACTGCAGTTCAAGTCCTGGACCTGGTGGCTTAAAACTCATGCTGGGGACCAGCGGATAATTACATAATAATTTTGTTGCTGGACTCCCATGTAGTCAATTGTGGACCCAGTGGCTTCAAACTCATGTCAGGGGTGTGGGCCCCTGTGCCCCAGTCAGGTGTGTGTGCACCTGTGCCCAAAATCCCAAGAGGCGAATAGAGGAGAAGGGATTGCTGTGTGGCCATCCCCCCTGGGGATGATTTCTCACTTTCTGTCTCCCTGCTTCTCTCTCTCTTTCTCTCTCTCTCTCTCTCTGGCAAGCACACACACACTATAGCTAAATCCTCTCTACAAAAACAAAAACAAAACAAAATAGTAGTTAGAGCTTGTGGGACCAGTAGATGATGTAGTGGTTACGTTGCTGGATCCCATGTCACTGACTGCAGTTCAAATCCTGAACCTGGTGGCTTAAAACTCATACCAGGGACCAGTGGATGATGTAATGGTTATGTTGTTGAACTCCCATGTAGTCTATTGTGGTTCAAATCCCGGACCCAGTGGCTTCAAACTCAATTCAGGTGTGTGTACACATGTGCCCAAACTCCCAAGAGGAGAATGGAGGAGAAGGGATTGCTATGTGGCCATCGCCCCCGGGGGGTGATTTCTTGCTTTCTGTCTCTCTGTCTCTCCGGCAAGTTCATATTCCCTATGGCAAAAATCTCTCTTCAACAAAAGAAGAGTAGTTGGGGCTTGTATGTGATTACATTACCTTCTCATTTCTTTGTGTTTAGGGAGCATTTGACACAGAATGGACCAGAATTTGGAAAAATCCTAGACAAAACTAGCTATTGTAAGAGGATGGGATTTACATATTTCTAATACTGGACATCTCTTACATTATGCATAACATTAAATTTAGTTTTATCACTTTGGAGCCAGTACTACTCTTTAAAAAGAAGCACCAGCTTTTATTTTAATGTAATTATTAATCAGTACAGGGAGTTGAGGAAGAGGAAATTATAACTAAATGTTTTACAGTGCACTCTAAAGGTAATACCGCTTCCTTCCTTTGTCTCACTGGTTTCGGCATGGGAGACGCACCTCCTCCATGAAGTCTTCCTTGATTAAGCTTGCTTTGTCACTGTCCCTTTATGGTCTCTTAGCATGGCAACATGCAGATCCTTGCTCAGCTATTAGAGTTTGGTTGTCGGAGAGTGGAGCCCTCACTCTGTATGGTAGCACTTCTGGGTGGGGAGAGCATAAATCCTCCCTCCGGTGCCCACAAATAGAAACAATTGCACATTCAACGCATCCCCCGGAGACTAAAGTAGACTTCTAGGGGACATGGCGACGCAATGCAGTGGAAAGAACAGGCCGGGCAGGGGGGCAGGCCTAGACTTGAATGCGGTCTCTGCTGGTTCTAGCTCTGGCCTTTGGTTAAGTTACTGAATATTTCTCAGTGTCAGTTCCCTTCTTAAAAGAAGCACAATAAGGTTTCATTTGTTTGTTTGCTTTGTTTTGTTTTTTAGTTTTTGCTATAGAATGTATGCATTCTTCAGAGAGGAACAGAGAGAGGAAAGAAAAGACCCCCAGGAGGGATGGCCATGCCACAGTCCCTTCTCCTCCATTCTTCTCTGAGGATTTTGGACACACACGCACATGTGCCCAGTGTGATCTTCAAGTCTCCGAGTGCAGGACTTGAACCACAGTCAGCCGTGTGGGAGTCCGGCAAGGTTTAGGTTAGGTACTGTGCGGACTGCGTAAGGTGAGATGTCAAGCCCCTCCCACAGCAGAGAGCAGAGCTGCCTGTGTCCTCTCCTGGACTACCCTCCTCCCACACTGATACGCAGTATGGACCGGAAGAGAAAGTAGGTGCACAGTAAGGTTTGCAAAGGAGCTAGAACAAGGAGCAGTAGAAGTTTACGACGTGGTTAAATAAATAGCAAGAACAAAGAGCTGTAGTTTTTCTTAGTCTCCCATCAGCATCTGTTTTGTAACATCACACAGCCCAGTGTTTCTACAGAGTGACTTTATAGGAATCCAGATCTTTCTGCTATAGGGTGAATGCACTTGCTGGAGAGACAGAGAGAGAGAGAGAGAGAAATCATCCCATGCGGGGGCTGGCCACGCCACAATTCCTTCTCCTCCATTCTCCTCTTGGGATTTTGGGCATGTGTGCAAACGCACCTGGTGTGTTTCAGGCCTCCCGGTCTGGGACTCAAACCACGGTTGGTTATGTTGGAGTCTAACACCTTAACCATTACCCCCACCTACTGACCCCAGGAATACAGACCTTTCTAGTTGACCCACTGTCCCCAGGATCTAAAACACAGTAGGTGCTCCGTGAGTACTTGTTGAATGAATGAGCTAGCACTTAAACCTACAGATCTATAGAATTCATTGTTGTTTAGCATCTGTTTTAACAAATCAAAAATTAAAGTACTGTTTCCATTCATCTTTTGAACCTTTCTCATAATGGAATTCTACATATGTAAGTGTTTAAAGATCATTTATTCGGTTCACAGATCGGTGGTTACAATGTGGCAATATGACAAAACCAGCAAACCATGTCATTAAAGGGACAAAGTAGGTCATTAGTCTGGCAAGGACCTAAGTGCCAACCACTGTGATGGGAAGATCAGGAGGCAGATTCTATAAATTAAGGGACATGAATGAGAATCTTTCATTCTGCTGCCTCCTGTTCATTTCCAGTTAAGTATTATTTCCAGGTAGGTAATCTATTCTCATGATAAAAAATTCAATTAGAGAGGTGTCGGCAGTGAAATCTGTCCTCCTCCCCTTTCTCAGTCTCCAGTCTCTTAATTCCCTTTAGTTCCCAGAGGCAGTGGTTTCTCTTGCATACTTTGAGACATATTTTTTTTGAAAAATCAAGAATTTAAGTATTTGTACACTTCTTCATTTTATTCAAATGATAGAAATTTCACAGTTGCCATATCTTGCTTTTTACTTAATGACGTAGTTCAGATATCATTGTATATACACACAACCGTAGAGCTGCCCCATTTTTTCCCCCAGTGACTGCATCGCATTCATTTTGCTGTATGTATGTACCAGAATGATTTAGCACATCCCCAGCTGACGGATGTATACGTTGTTTCCATTCTTTCCTACCATAAAGGATGGAGTTGCAGGGCAGGAAGTATGTTTGTATATATATTTTTTGAAGTGGATAAATAATTTTAATCTCAGCTGTGTTCTACTCTAGAAACCCCGATTTAATTTTCTAAGCCATTTACAAAGTCAAAACCCAAACTTCCATTCTTCTAGAAGGAAGAAATGAGTGTTGTACATCACTTCACTTAATGATACTGTCGGCAAAGCTAAGCATTGGCACCAGTTTTTTTTCTTTTTTCTTTCTTTTTTTTTTTTTAAAGGTTTTTATCATAGGATGTATACGCTCACCATCGCGAGAGACAGAAAGACAGAAAGAGAGGAAAAGTGAGAAATCACTCCCCCAGAGGGGGTGGCCATGCAACAACCCCTTCTCCTTTCTCTTCTTGGGATTTTGCACATCTGGTGTGATTTTTCAAGCCACCAAGTCCTGGACTCAAACCATGATCAGTCATGTGGAAATCCAACGCCTTAACCGCCAAGCCACCTGCTGGCCTGAGGATATGGTTTTTACAGTTTTTCAGAACTTGGCTTATTGACTTAAGTGTATTCATTTTCTAAGCCAGAAAACTAGTAACTTGATTCCAAAATGGAATTCTCCTTATTAGTAAAGAGAAGGAAGTGTGAATATGCTCCTTAAGGAACAGAAGCTGAAAACATTTCTTGATGATAATAGAGGTAATGATGCCTTTTAAAGAATGTTTTGTTTTATATTTGCTATAGGATGTGTGTGTTCACCAGGGAGAGACAAAGACAGAGAGTGAGAGAAAGTGGGAAAGACCTCCCACAGAGGAATGGCCCCACCACAATCCCGTCTCTGTTTTTCTCTTGGGATTTTGCTCATGCATACACACGTGCCCAGTGTGATTTTCAAACCACCAACTTTGGGGCTTGAACCTTGGTTGGCCATGTGGGAGTCCAGCACCTTAACCACTATGCCACCTGCTGGCCACAGGATTGACACCATTTAACCACCAGTTTTTGAAAAGCTAAGGGAATAATTTTCATAAAATATGATAACAGTAATTCTACTCTTGCGGTATATGATAATGGCATTTTACATCTGTGCAGTAGTCAGATCCTAGTTTGTTTTCATTTAGACTTTTTACACTGAAAATTATTAGCTTACTTACTTTATGCCTTTTTCTTCCAACAGTGTAGAAGAAAGCTTCAAGACTCTGTTTTGGTCAATATTTGGGTTGTCTGAAGTGACTTCCGTTGTGCTCAAATATGATCATAAGTTCATAGAGAATATTGGATACGTCCTTTATGGGATATACAACGTCACAATGGTGGTTGTTCTACTCAACATGCTAATTGCTATGATTAATAGCTCATATCAAGAAATCGAGGTAAACCTGTTTTCTACCCCTGATGTCCATCCTTGTCACCCCATTCTAGAAGGGCTCTACATCTGCTGTCCTGATGGTAGAACTTCACGTGATAAAGAAGGTTAAATCCAAGCAGGGCCTCGGCCTTTCCCCCATGTTTTCCCCACTTCTAGGTAGTCGCATGCTTTCTAGGGTCTTCAAAGAGCTCAGTTGGGCTCATCAATTTACTTCTACTCTGCCTTCTCTCAGGGTGTGAGGAATTTTTAAGTTAATGCCTAAGACTACTGGCCATCGGAAAATCATTCTCCCGTAGAGTAGTCAGTCAACCATTCTTCCTGGGAGAAGAATTACTGGATATCTGACTAACATTCATAATTTTTTTTTCAGAAATCACTTTACTTTGGTTTGAATCGGGCTCGTTTTGGTCCCTTTTGCTACCACTACATGCTTTCTCATGACCTCCAGTTTAGTGTTCAATATCTTTTTATTGCTCTAGAAAGTCAAAATGTAGTGTTCTCAAAGCAGAAGTTAGGTTCTCAAGAAATGAAAACTGTGGTCCCTGAATACCTGCCTGGGTGTGGCAATGACAGCTGGGGCTGTGTGAATGGACTGACCCATCTTCTACCTCTGGTCCACCTCCTCAACTCAGGGTGGTTCTGTCTGTCATTATGGGGCAGCACCATGGATAGAAAGAGATAAAAGACCAGTCTAGTTTACTAAGGGACTGAGGAGACAATTGAGGACATGTGGTGTCATAAACACCAAAAAGTAATTCATCTGAGTGTCATTTTCCCCTTTGCCCTTGGAGTATAATCTCTTGTAATAATCTGTCTTGGATGGGCCAAGGAGAGGAAGGAGGTTGAGTAGAGAGTGGAAAATCATTATTGAAGATGCAAAATTGGTAGGGTGGGAGGTGGAGGATATTAATCCCTTTATCCTTTCTTGACTGAATTTTTCTTGTTTTTGTTTTCTGCTTTGTTTTTAGATGAGGGGCATAGGAAATTCTGGTTAAAATCAGTGGGTACAGGAGCCAGCAGGTGGCATAGTGGTTAAGACACTAGACTCCCAGGTAGTTGACCATGGTTCGAGTCCTGAACCCGGCAGCTTTGTACTTATGCTGGGCATGTGTGTGTACATGTCCAAAATCCCAAGAGAGGAACGGAGAAGAAGGGATTGTGGCATGGTCATCCCCTCTGTGGAGGAAGATGGGGGGTGTGGGGGGAAGGTGATTTCTTACTTTCTGTTTCTATGTGTCTCTCTGGTAAGCTCACATGCCCTATAGCAAAAAAATAAATAAATAAATAAATGAAAATTTAAAGATAAAAAAATGGGTACAGAGAGAGGCATATAGAAGAGAAAAAAATGAGAATCATAAAAGTGCTACTCAGAATGTCATGTAGCCCTTTAGAGGTGATATGCAGATCCATTTGTCACTTAGATTCGTGATCATTGGCAATGTTACTAGAATATTTCATCTTAAAAATTACTTTTCTATTTTTTGACACAGGATGACAGTGACGTAGAATGGAAGTTTGCCCGTTCGAAACTGTGGTTATCCTATTTTGACGATGGAAAAACGTTGCCTCCACCCTTCAGTCTAGTTCCTAGTCCAAAATCATTTGTTTATTTCATCATGCGGATCATTAACTTTTCCAAATGCAGGAGGAGGAGGCTACAGAAGGACACCGAGATGGGGATAGGTAACTCCAAGTCCAGGGTAGGTATTAGAGACTTACCAAGACCTTCAGCCAATGTTTTGTCTCTTTTCTCCTTGTCTTTTGATGTTTGTTGAATAATTTTTATGTGTGAACTTAGAAGATGTTGAAAATACCTCTTTATACCCACAGTTTTTCATCAGCAAATACTTGACTCTTCATGTTTCAAGCACTCATTTAGTCATTTAGTTCTGATAAAAATCAGAACCTCATGTGAACTACCAGGTTAGAAACAAACAAGAAGATCTTTTCAACTTTTTTAATGTAAGCAGAAAGTTATTATTAGAAAACTTTTTTTTTTTTTCTAGCAGTGTGCTTCTCAACTGCTTTTCTGAAGTTAAATTAGATGTATGGGTGGTTCACTGCCACCATATTCTTGGTTTGCAGAAACCCTTCATTGACTCAAATAATCTTTTTCCCATTGGTAGATAGATAGATAAATAGGTAGATATAGATTTGAATAGATTGGGCCAAGGAGCACCCTCAAATTAACCATATATACCCCTTTTAAAAAAATAAGCAAGAATGGTTTGCCATTGAGTTCTCCCTCTTGAGTCATAGTTGAGTTTTAACAAAGAAGATAAGTTCCATGATGGTATTTTATTATGAGCTTAATTTTCAGAGCTGAAATTGGTGTCGGAGACAGAGGAGAGGGATAAACCTCAAACAACAGGGAATGAGGCAGATAGAGGGGAGCAATTTTGTGGGGTTAAAATAGAATTTTTGCCTAAAATATTGACAGTGATCCTTAGCTGTCATATCCCCAGAAACTCACAAGATACTGGTGTTTTTCCCAAAGCAGAGACCTTCCTGGGCAGAAGGAGGTTTTGTTTGTTTGTTTGTTTTCAGTTGAAGCTGGGGAAGAGACCAGAGTAGTACAATTTAATTTCTCATTGTTTTAAAGTAAGGTGCATTTGTAAGATTTATAATACACTTCAATCTTTTTCTTTTGGTTTTGGTTTGTTTTAAGGTTTTTGTCATAGAGTGCATGTGCTCGCCAGAGAGAGACAGAGAGACAATGAGAGGGAAAGTGAGAAATCACCTCCAGAGTGGGGAATGGCCACACTGCAATCCCTTTTCCTCCATTCTCCTGGGATTTTGGGCATACATGCACACATGCCTGGCATGATTTTCAAGCCACCAGGTCTTGGGCTTGAATCATGATCAGTCATGTGGGACTCCAGCACCTTAACCACCACACCACCTGCTGGCCCCAGCGCCTAGAATCTTATTCTTATTGTTGTTTGACCTGAATCCGGGCTCTTACTTAGGTCACAAGGTAAACTTGATGGTGATATCCCTGATGTAAAATACCTCATGTGCACACAGTGAGAAGCAGTGTAATGTGAAGAGGAGAGCTTCGATGTCAGATCTGGACTTGAATTCTGGCACTTAGGCGACTGGCAAGGGACATGGCTAAATCACCTCACCACTCTGAGCTTTACTTGTATCCCCCAAAAGCAAACCCTTCATGGGGTTCTTGGGAGGATCCTGTGAGAGATACTTAGTTCCAGCCTCAATACCAGTGCCTCCCTCGGTCACAGTTCACAAATGGTTGCTGTGCATTTGAACCTCGTGCAATGCTTTGAGGCAGATATCATTATTCCCGCTTGTCAATAAGATCACTGAAGCCATTCAAGAAACTCACGTAGGCCAGGCCTCAGGAGCCAGCCAGTGCAGTCAGTGTGGAATCCGTTTTCTAGCATCCAGTTATAGCTCTCTCTGCTGCACCTGGCTGCCTCTTAATGCTGAGCATCTGGATTCAGGGGTGGTTACTGCCCACTCCTTCCCCCCACCAAGCTGTACCCTCAGCTCCGGGATGGAATAGCTGGTCTTCAGAGGGGAGAGGCTCTAATCGGCCCCCTGGGCTGTGCCTGCTGCTCCTGAACTCCACTTTGGTTTTTTTTTTTTTTTTTTGGAGAGTTTTTCACTGTAGGGTGCGTGCGCTCGCCAGACAGACAGAGAGAGACATAGAGACAGAAAGCGAGAAATCACCCCTCAGGGGGGATGGTCACGCCGCAATCCCTTCTCCTCCATTCTCCTCTCGGGATCTTGGGCACGCACGCACATGCGCCCGGCGTGAGTTTTAAGCCACCGGGTCCGGGACACGAACCGCGGTCGACTACGTGGGAGTCCAGCGACATAGCCATTACGCTAACTGCTGGTTCCCAACTCCACTTTGTTTTTAAGGAGCTCTGTTCTTCTAGGAATATGGCCACTGACACTTTTTGATTTAAAAAAGTAAGTCTCTCAAATATGGGAGCTCACAGCAAGGGATGTAGCTAAATTCCTTCTCCACTCTGAGCCTCACCTGTCCCACCGGAAAGCAAAAACCTTATGGGGTTATCGGGAGGATTGTGAGATGTGCTAAGTCCCAGCCTCAACAAATACCAGTGCCTGTCCTCACTCAGTTTCCAGCTCCCAGGTCCCACACTTCACAGAACACACCTTGAGAATCTGTGGGCCCAGATTCTACTGGCTTCACTCTCCATGTGACACAATGTAGGAGAAATACTGACAATCCAGATCCTGTGGCCACCTAGGCCCCTCTGAGGAAACCCGGGATGTGAGGGCAGCATCCCATGTAGGTGGTCCATTTGCGGGGTCCTGCCCTGCTGTGGTGCACCGTCCACAGGGGAGAACAGCTTTTCTCAGAGAGGGCACTGGAAATTGAAACAGTTAAGCAGGATTTTAGAACCTGTGCTCCTCGGCTTCTTATTCTTCCTGGTTAAAAAGTGCCATTTTATTTTTTAAATTGCACACAGAGCCCTTTTCATCTCTGTACTCTCATTTATCCTGAACTTAGTAAAAATTGGGGGAATGATGCTTTCCTGTTTTTCTTTTATAGAAACTGAAGTGTTATCTGCTAACCCAGAGCGCTAGCCTCAGTCAGCTGATACTGACCTCTAGTGGCAAGTAGGGGCATTAATTCTGTTGGCCATAGTTTTCTCCTGCACAAATTCTAAGAGAACCAAGTTAGGAGGGCCCTTGCTGTTGGGGCCACGTTTTTTTAACTCCATAGCATCCCACCCTTCCTGAGTTATAATGAGGAGGAACTGGATGGTCAGGCAGAAACATCTTTTTGGCTAGGGCGCCCTGTCTTTGAGTCACACCTCACAGGTGGCAGCTCACCCTCAAATAAGAGGCAGACTTTGCTCTTGTGCCAAGAGAAGATGGTACCTATAGGCTCCTCTTGCTGTCTGTTTCTAGCCAATTAAAACCTAAACCTTAGGGCCAGCAGATGGCGTAGTGGTTATGTCACTGGACTCCCACATGGTCAACCATGGTTTGAGTCCCGGATCTGGTGGTTTGAAAATCATACCAGGTGTATGTGCGTATATGCCCAAGATCCCAGGAGGAGAATGGAGGAGAAGGGATTGTGGCATGGTCATCTCCCTAGAGAATGATTTCTCACTTTCCCTCTCACTGTCTCTCTCTCTCCTATGGCAAAAACTTTTGAAAATAAAAACAAACAAAAAAACCTTAAAAAGAAAAAGAAGAAAACCAAAATTCTTTAACCTAATTCTCTCTAAAGCTGTGAGCCTGGCTCAGTGTAACACCCAAATGATTTGAAGATGTGTTTGGCTAAGATTTCAGGGCTCTCGGATAGCAGATGGTGCCATGCACACCTGCACTGTATTTCTGCTCAAGTCTAAGAAAGAACTTGGGCCCAGAAACAGATCAAACTGCTTCTTTGGAACTTGCCCTTCTATTACCAGGAGTACATTATTATGATGTAGTCAAGGTCCCCAGGAAAAGTTACATTTAATGTGAGTCATCTTTATAAAATATATTTTCAATGAAAGAGCTCTACTGTAGTACATCTTGCCAATATTGCGATAAATGTGAACATGTTGCTCACGTTTTTTTTTTTAACCTTTGAAATATATCACATATAAAACTCAACTTCCACAGAATGTTCCTTAGAAAGGTTCACTTCAAAAATGTTATCAAGGAGAATAAAGTATATTTTTTATTCCAAATGAATGTATTCTAATTTACTAGGTTAACTGTATTTTTTCCTAGTTAAACCTCTTCACTCAGTCTAACTCAAGAGTTTTTGAATCACACAGTTTTAACAGCATCCTCAATCAGCCAACACGTTATCAGGTAAGCATTCATTAGATTTATCTCTTGATCTGTGTATGAATATATATCTATACACATATAAATGTGTAGATATATACACATATATGTCTGTGTGTGTGTGTGTGTGTGTAGTGAGTAGAATTATATTCTTCAGATGTACTATGAAAATAGAGAAAAAGGGGAAATACGATGCTAATTAAAGGAAACTTTAGAAATCTAAGTCCAAGTTCTTTATTATCTTTTTTCCTCCAAGGAAGAAGAGTTTCTTTTGCAATATTGAACACAAAGTTTACAAAGAATCCCTATATATATCTTGAGGAAGCAGTGGAAAATACAGCATATTAAAATAAATATTGCTCTCACATTATGAAAACTTGAAGCATTTCTGTAGGTTTTTGTTTTTGTTTTGTTTTAAGTGATCCATTTTCCAATGGATTTCTAGGCTTTGCTATTGCATCAGTACTACTTTAAAATATCTTTTTCATTTTGATATTGGATGTAATATTTGAACACTATTCTCCAACCCAGAAGAGATTATAGTTCTTTGTCTTTCATCTGGTTGATTATTTTGATCATCTGATCTTCATTACAAGAATGAAGATCAAGGAACTTAAAATGTATGGTGATGTCAACTCATGGGAATAATCCTCGCTTTATACAATTTTCTTGGAAGCAGAAAATTTTACAGAATTACTTGGCACACTGACTGTCAAAGCTTTATTTTTAATGGGCATTTTATATTCCATTATGTGGCTGTACTTTATTTAATAGTCAGTTGTCTGTTGATGGAGATTAAGAGTAGTGATACTATGTGGCTATCGCAAATAAAACTATAGTAAGTAACCTTGTATACAGGACATTTCAAACATGTGAAAATATGTGGAATTGTCTGGTTAAAGAGGATGTAGCTTTGAATTTTTTTGCCATTACCAAACTAATTCAATGGAGCTTGTACCAATTTACCTTCTTATAATAAGTGTTTAAGAGTGCCTGGGTTTTTTTCACCTTAAGTTACCAAGTGTATTACCAAAGATTTTTTTTACCTTAGCTGGATAGGTGAACATAATATTATTTTGCATATTTTATGATGAATGAACTTGATCTTTTTATGTTTATTTTTTTTTCACTTATGACTCCAGGTATATTGATCTTGATGGGCTTTTTGCTTATCAGTTAAGAGGAATTGTTTATTATTTTTAAGAGTTTCAGCCTTTATATCAACATATGTGATAGGAGTTAAGAATTTTTTCATGATAAAGATAAGCAAAGTAAAGCCATTTTCACCCACCTGGAGGCAGTCAACCCAGAGCTCCTGATCCAATGCCTAACAATGTCAGAGACCCAGGCTTTTCTTATCACTCTGTCATAGCTTTTGGTCTAATATTATCTCATGGTTCAATAAAGCTATTGAAGCTCTATTAGTTCTGCGTTCCAAAATGCTGTTAGAAGATGATGGGGGGAGAAGTTCCTTCTCATAAGGAATATCTGTAAAGTTGTATGAAGGACTTAACTACCATGGAGGCTGGAAAATAAAGTCCTCACATTGCAGAAAAACTCTCTCCCACGTAGTCTATCGCCGTTCAAGTCTGGACCCTGCAGCTTAAAACTCACACCGGGTGCTTGTGCATGTGCGTGTGCCCCAAGTCCAAGAGGAGAATGGAGGAGAAGGAATTGCAGTGTGGCCATCTCCCCTGGGGGTGATTTCTTTCTGTCTCTCTGGTGAGCACACACATCCTGAAGCAAAAATCTCTCTTAAAAAAAACAGAAGAAAGCATATGGCAATTTTTCTTTCTTTTTTTTAAAAGAATTATTTATTTAATTTTATGTATTATCATGATTGTTATAATTTTTAATTTGCTATAGGGCGCATACACTCACTAGAGAGAGAGAGAGAGACAGAGGTGGGAGGGGGTGAGAAAGCACAGTACCAGGCCCAGGACTTTAACCATGGTCAGCCATGTAGGAGTCCAGCACCTCAACCACCACGCCACCTGCCAACCCCAGGGCAATTTCTCTTGAGACAAAATGAGACATTTACCTTGAGCTCCATTCACAGTGAGCTTCTTGACACATTCAGGACAACCTCTACTATACATCATCTTAGGTTATAAGGAGCCAGAATACAGTCCTTTGAGGCTGTCTGCACTGGAGGAGAGAGCAGTGTGCAGGTGAGAAAGAAGGAAAGGAAAAGAGACAGGTGAACATTCACATAACACTGCAGTGTGACGAGTACGTGCTGCGTATACCTGTGTATGAGTAGAAATAAACGGTGTAAATAAAATGGTCTAGGAAGCTAGGATCCAGAAGGGGATATTTAAATCAAGTTGAGGAAGAAGCAAATTTATTCTCTGTTGATTAGAAGGAATAGATCTTGGGCCAACAGTTTAGAAGAAGTTACAGTGAAGCAGATTTTGGCCAAATACAACAGGAGCTGTTTTCTAAGAGCTTCAATGATCTAAAAATGGACTAACCCAGCTGTCTGGAAAAAGCAGGCCCTGAATCATGGATGTTTATATAGAGGCTGTGTGATGCTCATCTACCAGGGAATAGTACGATAATATGAAAAGCAGTGACTTCCAACCCTTTTTTCTCTACAGTTTTACTCTCTACTCCTTACGTTTGGCCGAATCCATCTCATGACCTTTATTCACACTTCTTAGTTTGCTAAAATCCGGGGTACAAACATATTGATGATGACAGTCAAATGTGACGTCTCTGCAGACGGAAATAAGAGAACGAATGGAAAAGTAATTGATGGAGTGCCTATCAGTCTTTTTTTTTTTTTAAAAGAGATTTTTGCTATAGGGCACATGTGCTCACCAGAGATGGAGTAACAGAGACAAAAAGCAAGAAATCCCCAGGGAGGATGGCCACATCGTCGCAATCCCTTCTCCTCATTCTCCTCTCAGGATTTGGAGCATGCATGCATATACACCCAGTGTGAATTTCAAGCTGCAGGGTCCTGAACACGAACCCCGGTCTGCCACATGGGAATCCAGTACCTTAACTACTGTGCCGCCTACTGGCCCCTTATTTACCAATCTTTTTTTTTTTTTTTTTTTGAGAGATTTTGGCTATAGGGCGCATGCACTCACCAGAGAGAGAGACAGAACCAGAAAGCAAAGAATCAGCCCCCAGGGAGATGGCCACGCCTCGATCCCTTCTCCTCTTAGGGTTTCGGGGACACACACACATGCACCCAGTGTGAATTTTAAGCTGCCAGGTTCAAGACTCGCACCGCAGTCAACTATGTAGGAGTCCAGGGACGTAACCATTATGCTATCTGTTCGTCCCCATGGTTGCTAGTCTTAACAATTGTTGGTCAAATATGAATCAATAAAAAATACACAAGTGAAAGGAAGTGCTCTGACTCCTTTGGGGAGGATATCCAGCTACCCACCATGTACCCAAGGACCCGTGTCTTATTCCTTCTCCCAATCTTAATGGAGGGTTAAAAATGAACTTGGATTTGTTTGCAAGAAGAAATGTTTGAGGTAGCTACCACCTCTGGTCTTTATCTGGCTCAGTGAAGACCAGTTTGTTTCAGAATCTCTCTCTGGGCTTTCATACCCTGGACAGAGAAAATCCATAGTCTTCAAAGTCACAGTATCTTCTTTAAAAGGAAGACACAGGGGTCAGCAGATGGTGTAGTGGTTAAGGTACTGTACTCCCACGAGGCCAAGAACAGTTCAAGTACTAGACCCAGTGCCTTGAAACTAACTAACACTGGGCACATGTGCATGTGTGCCCAAAATCCCAAGAGGAGAATGGAGAAGAAGGGATTATGGTATGGCCATCCCCCCTGGGGGGTGATTTCTTGCTTTCTGTTTCTTTCTCTCTCTGTCTCTTCAGCAAGTGCACACTCCCTATAGCAAAAATAAAAGTCTGAAAAAATAAAATGACTCACAGGCTTATACCAAGAAATTTACGTAATTTCTGGAGGTTTGTGGAATGTAGAAGTTAATCTGTAGGTTATTTTTTCTTTTGCAACAGAGTACCTGCAGCTTGAAATTCGTGAGAGAGAGAGAGAGAGCAAGAGCAAATGAAAGTGAGAAAGCACCCCAAGGGGGATGGCCATGCCACAGTCCCTGCTTCTTCATTCTCCTCTTGAGATTTGGGGCACACATGCACACGCACCTGGCATGTTTTTCAAGCACTGGGTCAGGGACTCAAACAGTGCAGTTGGCATGTGGGATCCAGCACCTTAACCTCCACACCGCCTGCTGACCTTCTTTGGTTGTCTTTTTAGCTTTGGGTAATGAATTCATGAATATATGAAAGTGATTTTATTTTCCACAGCTTCCCACTACATTGTCCCATTTTGAACTCCTCTTTTCCGCTGAGTAAATGGTCCCTTTATAACATCTTGGCAATAGTTTATAACTTTCCATTTGGTTATTAGAAAAATCTCATTTTTATACTTAAAGAGACCGTTATTGTGTATTCTGAAACTTACATCTCCAAGGCAAATCTGAAGCTCTTCATTCACTCTCTCGCACCAGCTGTGCTTTTCTGTGACTCCAGGGGCTCACGTGGGAGAGGGCGTGGTCTGCTTCACGCTCAACCGCCCTTGCCATTCTTCCGGGTGTCAGCGCTCTGCTAGGTGGCGTAGGAAGAAGAAGGTGCAGGGGCAAACCTCTTCTCACTTGAGTTTCCTCATTGTTTGTCACCTCTGCTTTGGCAGGCCAAGTTTCATGGCCTCTGTGGCTGCACCACCACGACTGCCTCTCCAGGTGGGTGGGGCTTGTCCAGAGAGCTTGCAGAGGCTGTGGGGAATGTCCCCTTGCACAGCTTCTGGTGGGGAGATCTGGCTCCCACTCGACGTGTGGGCCTAATTTTATCTTTTCACGAGGGTAACCCTTCATCACAGCCCCACTTATTGCATAGACAATTCTTTCTGATTCATATCATTGCCTTCCACCCAACCCAGTAGGAACTCGCACGTTTGTCAAATAAAGGGACTGTACGTTGACCGTTGGCAGTTTCTCTCCTGCTTCTTAGTCCTTTTTCTCCCTGGCATAATGGCCAGGACAGGCCAGCGAGTCGAATAGAGTAGACATTCAGTTGGATACAGGATGCCAAGTTCCTTTCCTTTTTAAATATTTTTTTAAAGTTTTTAAAGTTTATTTTGTTTAGTAAGTAAATAATTTATTTTTTGCATGAGTAAGAGAGGCACAGAGAACTGAACAGAAGGTTTCCATGACGTCCCAACATTGCAGCCACCTCATGGCAGCCAGCCCTAGACTCTGGGCATGAGCATTCTTGGTGCATTCAGGGAGGTCCTCCTAAGTTTTTTTTTCTTTTCTTATTATCTTTAAATATGCTATCTGATACATGCACAAGAATATATGTAGTGCATAGATTGTGAAGCATAATTAGGTGCCTGCCTATGAACTACCACCCACCTGACAATGATGGCATATCCATCATCATTCCTGTCACATGCTCCTCCCCATCCTACCCGTCCAATCCCACCTAGAGTGGTTCATTGTCCTGAGGTTTGGGTTTCTCATCTTCTTGCCTTGGTTTTCTTTTTTTGTTTTTGGAGAGGTTTTTGCTATAGGGCGCGTGTGCTCGCCAGACAGACAGAGAGGGACAGAGAGACAGAAAGCGAGAAATCACCCCCCAGGGGGGATGGCCACGCCGCAATCCCTTCTCCTCCATTCTCCTCTTGGGATCTTGGGCACGCACGCACACGCGCCCAGTGTGAGTTTTAAGCCACCGGGTCCGGGTGGTCGACTACGCGGTCGACTTCGTGGGAGCCCAGCGGCATAGCCATTACGCTAACTGCTGGTCCCGCCTTGGTTTTCTTTTCGAATGTAGTTTTATCAAATAGATAGATGGGTTGATTGATATAGATATTCTTGAAAGTGGATTGTATAGATTTATGTGTAATTGAGCTTTATGGGGATCGTTTTATACTTTGTGATGTCTTCCGCAACTGAAATTTTTCATTCAACATTATGCTTCTAAGATTCATCACTGCGGTATATGGCAACGGTTCATTAACCTCATTAATGAACTAAGTATGTAATGTACCACAGTTGGTTCTCCTGTTGATATTTGTTTAGATTGTTTCCAGATGTTGTTGTTTCAGAGAGGGGGGCTGTATACGTTGTTGTTATGTCTCTGGGTCTGTGTGTGCCACGTTTCTGTAGGTTCTCTACCCAGGAGTGGGCATCCTGGGTGAAAAAGTATGCAGGATTCAGCTTTCAAAGATGATACCCAATTGTCTTCCCAGTCATCTATTTATACTCATGACACCCAACTAGAAAAGTACCCATTGATCCATATCTGTCCAGCGCTTAACATTATCAGATGTATTAACTTTTCCCTCAGCCAGATGTAAAATTGTGTCTCGTTTTCGTCACAATTTGTATTTTCCAAAGAAAGAGTTTGAGATAGTATTATACGCTTGTTGGTTATTTTCACATTTCCATTTCCGTGAAATACCTGTTTTTCCTTTGTTCATTTTTAAAAAGGGTTATTTGAGTTTTTAAAATTGAATTAAAGTTCTTTTCCTATTTGGATCCACATTATTCGTCAGGTGTAGATACTACCAATATCTTCTTCTAGTTTTTTTATTTGCCTTTTCGTTTCTGTATGGTATCTTTACAAATAGCAGTTTTAAATTTTAACAAAGTTGAATTTATCAATCTTTCTTATTGTAGTTAGAGTTTTTCACCTTTTTTTAAAAAAAATCCTCTCTACTCTGAATTTATAAATATTATTCTCCTATGATAGATAGATAGATAGATAGATAGATAGATAGATAGATATAATATATATCAATATTTTTTTTTTGGAGAGGTTTTGCTATAGGGTGCATATACTCGCTAGAAAGATAGAGAGAGACAGAGAGACAGAAAGCAAGAAATCACCCCCCAGGGGGGGATGGCCACAATACAGTCCCTTCTCCATTCTCCTCTCGGGATCTTGGGCACGCACACACATGCTCCTGGCATGAGTCTAAGCCACCGGGTCTGGGACTCGAACCACTGTCAATTACATGGGAGTCCAGCGACATAGCCATTATGCTATCTGCTGGTCCCATCTCCTATGATTTTTTTTTTAAAAGAATTTGAAATCTTTATCTTTTACATTTAAGATACAATTAATTTTTAATGGAATTAATTTTCGTGTTCTTGGTATGAGATAGGGCTCCAATTTAATTTTTTTTTCCACATGGACAAATAATGATCCCATAAGAACATTTATTCAGATTGAAAAATAGTCTCTCTTGCTATGAGGAAAACATGCTCTATAACAAAATGTATGCCATTTGGAAAACATCAAATACAGTACATATAGTAATTAAAGAAATTTAGATAAAGATACTAGAAGGACATATATCAAAATAATAACAGTGACTGTCTTTGAATGGTGGAGTTCTCTATATTTTTGTTTATTTCTTTAGTTCTCTGTATTTTCCAGATCCTCTGTATTGGGCATATTGTCAGATATATTTTTTAAATAGTGAGAAATAAGGTAAGAAATAGATAATAATGTAGCTTCAATACACTTTAAAGAGAAACCATGAGTTCGAAAGGAAAACAATGAATTGAAATCTTCCACTTTAGCTTTTTTTTTTTAAGCTTCTTTCTCCTGTCTGAGTTGTTTGCAGATAAGTAAGGCCCTTTGGAGAACAGAATCCAAGGTACTGATATGCATCATTGGCGATTTAATCATTTTGTTTTGCCCAACAGCAGATTATGAAAAGACTCATAAAGCGCTATGTTTTGAAAGCACAAGTAGACAAGGAAAATGATGAAGTCAATGAAGGTAAGCCTCTTTAATTTTAGAAGTATCCTTTTGGAGTTAAGTAATGAACTTGGAAAACGTCATACTGAAGCATGCGTTAAGAATCCATGGGCCAGCAGATGGTGTGGTGGTTAAGGCACTGGATTCTCCCATGGCTGACAGTGGTTCAAGTGTTGGACCCGGAGGCTTGAAAATCATGCTGGGCCTGTGTGTGTGTATGTGTGTGCATGTGTGCATGTATGTGCCCAAAATCCTGAGAGGAGAATGGAAGAGAAGGGAATGCAGTGTGACTATTCTCTCTCTGTCTCTGTCTCTGTGGAGAGCACAGCAACTCTATGACAAAAACCTTAAAAAAAAAAGAAAAAGGAAAAAGCGTCTAATCCCAGGCCCTAGTTTGGTTCCTCCAAGATTGAAAGCAGAATCAGATTTCTAAAATCTCATCTTGTTAAAGAAACAGTATTTAAAATGTTGATCAGAAGCGATTCATCTCTATTTTGAGTTCTCTAACCAATTCTGTAAATATAAAGACTGCCGTCTTTCTAGATTCCGACTGTAGTGAGTTCCCCTTGGTATTGACGTTTCCCAGTGATGCGGGTAAAACAACAAGTCACATGTCTTCAGAAACACCTCTGTTTTGTTATCCAGAATCAAATCTCTGACTCATGTTCCTGGTCTGGTGTTTCTCTTCTGAATTTCTCTTTCCTTCTTGGCTCCTTATTTAAGTGTGTCTATTTTCAAGTCATATGCTAAGATTGAGCATCTGTCTGGACTATAATACTGTTTTCGTCAAAGGCTGGAGGCTAGAGCCAAAGCACAGGCCTAGAGTTGGAAACCTATCAACCAGGGAGAAATAAGCTGTCCTAAAAATGGAAACTTTATCTTCTGTTGCCAGTGAGATAGCACTAGATCTATCTGCACTAATAAGAAAAGAAAGAAGTAAGCTTAGTAAGGTTGTTTATGTGCTTTGAAGCCATGGCTTGATTAACACGAGAAATCTCTTGCAAATCTGAGCCAAACTAATGGTATGTGTGTGTACGAAAGAAGTCTTTGAACATGGGATTGAGAACCAGCAGAAATCCGATTGTTCTGACCTTGAACAGTGTCAGGGAGATAGGAATGGACTGAGATTGCTAGTTTAGAAAATAGAAATCTGATCACTTGTATCATAACCTCATGGGGAGGGGAATGACCCATGTGGGAGAAATTAGACAGTCATAATAGCATCAAAACCAAGAAGCATTTTCCAAGCCCTTGCGCAAAAAAGGGAAAATTAATGAGAATTTGGAGTTTTAAACAAAGTTCTTTTTTTAGAGGTTTTTGCCTTAGAGCATATGCACTTGCTGGGAGGAGAGACAGACAGAGACAGTGAGAGGGAAAGTAAGAAATCACTCCCCAGGGGAAATGACCATTCCACAATTCCTTCTCCTCCCAGGATCTTGGGCATGCACTCACACACACCCAGTGTGAGTTTCAAGCCACCAGGTCCAGGACTCGAACTGCAGTTGACCATGTGGGAATCCGACAACATCACTGCTATGCCATCTGCTGGTGCCAATGTTCTTACTAAGAAAGTGAATCACATAAGAAACTTCCTCTTTTTTTTTTTTTCCATAGGGTGTGTGTGCTCACCAGAGAGAGAGGTACAAAGACAGAGAGGGAAAATGAGAAATCACCCCTAGGGGGGATGGCCACACCACAATCTCTTCTTCTTGTTTTCCTCTTGGGATTTTGGGCAACTGTATTCATATTGTGTAAATTTTACTCTTTGCTATTTTCTCAATCAAAAATGCAAATGATCAAGTGTGTATTGTTTAATGCAAATACTATAGGTGAATTAAAAGAAATCAAGCAAGATATCTCCAGCCTTCGTTACGAACTTTTGGAAGACAAGAGCCAAGCAACCGAGGAATTAGCCATTCTAATTCATAAACTCAGTGAGAAACTGAATCCCAGCATGCTGAGATGTGAATAATACAGCCACCTGGAATTACGGCTTAGACTACAGCACAAATGTGGGCAATAATATTTCTAAGTATGAAATACTTGAAAACCTATGGTGTACATTTTTAGTATTAACTACCTTTACCATGTGAATCTTTAAAAGTTAGGTCTTAATGATTTTACTGTTTTCTCACATGAAAATGTATTTTCATTGTCCGCTCTGCCATTACAAACAATGCCATACCAATGTATTTAAAAGCCCGATATGACTACATTGTTGACACCTTTGTCCTTTTCAGAGTAAACTCTATGTTTGTTTCCAAGAAATTGTAAGCGTCTTGGGGACAGAGACTGTGTCTTATTCATCTGTGTGTCTCCAGCATCTAGTACAGTGCCTCACACATAGTAGGTGCTCAGTAAATGTTGTTGAAACCAACTGAACTGAACTGCCAAGGAAATATGAATAAACATAGAAGGTTTATGTAGCATACTTCTCCCTTGTCCAAGTGCTGAAGAAATTTTTTTTTAAAAATAGAAACTGAAAAAAATTTTACAACTATGACTTGGAGAGATTTTTCTTAGAATTTTAAGCATCACGGATACTCCTAGAACCATTGAACCCTGAGTGAAGAAATTAACAATGGAATGGGTTAATAGGAAATATCATTACACTACATTACATATTTAAGTTTCATAGACTTGTTCAAAGCATCACACTAAAGATTTTTCTGAAATACATGCTGTTTGCTTTCCATCTGAGACTTTGGTTTGTCATTTTATCTGTCATGCGAATTCAGCAGTTTTTTTTAGCAGGAGTGGATTTTTTTTTTTTAAGTTGGGGGCAATACAGGGTTGTTATTTTGTTATCATCTTCTAATTTCTGCCTCTGACGATTCAATGCTGAGTGTCAACAACCAACCTCTTATCTTGTCAATGAGCTCCTTTCTGAGTTCTAGAGGGTCTGCTGGGTCTGGAGAAATAGCAAAGAACAATGACCATCTGGAAGGACAAAGCCAGGCAAGACCAGATGTGTTTCATTTCTCCTGGAATCATCTCTTGCCATAATCGCCTATAACGATCAGCATATTTTTTTCTTACCAAAGGATTCCAGTTCCATTCCACACAGAGGAGATTGTGATGTATTTGTACCCGACTTACCATGCAACAAGCTGATTTCTGGGAATACCCACCATGCCTAATGACTTTAATAGGAAAGGGGAGAGAGGCCAGTGCCTTCCCTGGTCTTTTCACAGACTACGAAACACTCAAAGTATTTTTGTAACTGCTAGGGTTAAATCTCTCGTAGAGGGACCAGCAGTTAGCGTAATGGCTGTGTCGCTGGACTCCCATGTAGTTGACCGCGGTTCGAGTCCCAGACCTGGTGACTTAAACTCATGCTGGGCGCATGTGCGTGCATGCCTAAGATCCCAAGAGGAGAATGGAGGAGAAGGGATTGCAGTGTGGCCATCCCATCTGGGGGTGATTTCTCGCTTTCTATCTCTCTGTCTCTCTCTGTCTGTCTGGCAGGCGCATGCGCCCCATAGCAAAAACCTCTGCAAAAAAGGAAAAACAAACAAACAAACAAAATAAATAAATAAATCTCTCGTGGAGTTATGTTTGCGCTCCTGAGTCTTCTAGTTCATTCCTGCCACGTCTTACAGGGATACAAATTGTGATCATGGCTCCAAGAGTTTCATCCATCTTCAAAACCAGTCAAATGTGGTAAAAGTCATTACTGTAACTCAGGAAGGCTTTCTAGACATGAAAATAAAAATGAACATTAAATGGAACTCCATAAAGCTTTTCAAAGATTACTTCTTGGGCCAGTTGTGTAGTACAACAGTTCAGCACCGTGCTTAGTGAGGTAGAGCCTATCTGGCTGACTGTGGTTTGCGTCCCAGCTCCAGTGGCTTGAAAAGCACACTTAAGTCTGTGTGTATATATTCTCAAAATCCTGACAGGAAGAAAAGAAAGAGGAGAAAGGATTGCAACATGATCACGTCCTACTGGGGGAGGGGTGCATACACTCTCTCTGGTGTGCACATGTGCCCTCTGACAATTAAAGATTATTTCTTAAATCTACTTTGTGGGAATATAAACAAATTAAGAGAGGAACTATATACTTTTATTGGCTACCCTTGTAGAATATTTCATTAATTTTTGTGCTATGCTAGTAGTATTTGTCTTAAACATTTTTCAGATTTTATGTATTTTATGTCATGTCCCAGAATTGAATAAAATTTTGAATTTTTCATTGTCACATGTTACTGCAGTGTATGTTGAACAGTAACAATATGGAGTTTTCATAGTGGATGATACTTTCAGTTTCACAGTTTTGTCTAGGATGCCAAGTGTGAGTGAAAATGTTTGCTTGTAGCTGACGAACAGAATATTTAGTAATCTTCCTAATTGGAATTGAAAAGATGCTGAATGAAAAAGTGGCAGATTTGGGGCCAGCAGGTGGCATGGTGGTTAAGATGTTGGACTCCCACATGGCCAACTGCAGTTCAAGTCCCAAACCTAGCAATTCTCTTTCTCACTTTTCGTCTCTTTCTCTCTTTTTCTCTCTGTCTCTCTCTGATGAGCATGCGTGCCCTATGGCAAATTAAAAAATAATAATAGGGGCTGGCTGGTGGCATGGTGGTGAAGGTGCTGGACACCCACATGGCCAACAATGATTTGAGCCCTTGGACCTCAACAAATTAAATAATTGTTTGAATAAAAAAAAGAGCCAGCAGGTGGCGTGGTGGTTGGGAGTGCTGGACTCCTACATGGCTGACCATGGTTCAGGTCCCAGACCTGATGGCTTGCTTAACTCACTTTCTCTCTCTCTCCCCCCCTCTCTGGTCAAATTAAATGAAATTAAATAATTTTTTTAAAGGAAAAGAAAGAGAAGTAGCAGATTCAGCTGTGACTTTCAAGGTAGGATCCTTGGGATCTGCTGATCAGAAAGGTCTGGAGATACATACAATAATTTCATTTTTGTCCAGGCCCCCCACAATTGCACAACTGTTAATATAAGTTGTTTCTCTTTATTTACTACGCTTGTATAACCCTGCGAAGTTTTAATGGTTCATCTTTATCCTGAGTGAAGGAGTGATGACAAGGTAGGTGGGAACTATTAATGTTATTGATGCCCTGGCCAGGTCCTTCTGCCCTGGCCAGCACACCTGTCTCCCGGCTACCCGCAACAGTGCTCAGCTAAGCACTTCTCCAGAGACTTGCCCTTGCCAGAGAGGAAGCAGCCTTGCCTGCATGTAAGCCACCTCCTCCCCATGGCTAATGACTGACTAGGCCAGGCGCATGGAAGGTTGGCCCCTGTCTCAAGTTGAGTCTAACTTTTAGGAGCATTCATGTTCCCATCTCCTGAAAGGATTAGGCTGAAGCCAGTTTTAGGCTAGATGGAATCTTTGTCCAGTGTATTCACTGCCTTTTCCTGTTTTCTTTCCTCCATTTCTCCTGAGAGCAATTCCTCAACAAATCAGATCTTGTTAGGTTTGTCTCTAGGGAAGCCACCCTGAGACATAAAGTATTAATGTGGTGGCACTGGCACCAGATGAGGATTGGGTGAGGGGACTGCTGTCAGAATCAATACTTCCTCTGACGTAAAAGGCAACTCTGGATCTAGTCCTTGCTCAGATTCATTTAGAAATGCAAAGCTCAGAGAAATCCGTGGGGGCAACTCTGGGAAGGGAGCATTCCAATGGGACCAAAAAAGATTTCTCTAAAAAAGACATTTTGGAACTTACAGGTAATACAGGGATCGCCAAAGTCCTGTGACGCTCCTTGTGACATCTCTTACTTTTGGACCCTTTGCTGTTCTTAGTTCTTTTCTGAGATAAGCTAAGGGAGATAAGACACCCTTCCTACTGCTTCTCAGGGTTACTGTTTAAAAAGTCTGGTACTGTACTATGTCAGTAAGAGCCTGCTGTATTAAACTGGTCGGACACCCTCGACTCAATGGAATTTTACAATCTGTTGAGCAGCTTGGAATCAGAAACTTGAAATAAATTAGGAGACTGTGAAAAATGGTATCCAGTGTCTTCAAAATGTTCTGGGCACGATAAAAACTTAGAAGTGACGTTTCTATGCTGTTAGTACTGAAAGCAAATTTAGGGTAACTACCATATCTAGTATTTCAAATGTGTAAATCAAATGAAAGCAGCTTTGGTGGGCCAGCAGGTGGCATGGTGGATAACGTGCCTGTCTCCCATATGGCTGACCACGGTTTGAGTCCTGGACCTGGCAGCTAGCTTGCTTTCTTAGTTTCCCTTTCTCCCCCTCTGTCTCTCTGGTGGGCGCACTTGCCTTATAGCAAATTAAATAATAATAATAATACATCTAATTCTTAAGAAAAAAAAAAGAAAAGAAAAGCAGGTTTGGTAAGTGGGAAGGTAAATTGTCTTATGAACAAGTCCTAAAGAGAATTGAAGCCACATAGTTATTATGTAGCCAGGGACAAATCACTTAACTGTTCCGGTTTTCGTAACTGGTTCAGTCAAAGAGGGCTATGTTACATCAAAGTTATGTTTCAGGGTTATTTTCCTGGCACCTGGGGTCATAGAGGTGTTTCAGGGGGTTGATATTATCATCAAAGACAACGTCTTTCTCTGTCTTATTTCTTAAAGAATCGTTTATTTGCTTAATTTTATTTATTATTATGATTTAATTTGACCGGAGAGAGACGGGGTGGGGAGGGGGAGTGAGAAAGTAGGCCTGGCATGTCCAGGACTCCAACTGCAATCAACTGTGTGGGAGCCCAGCATCTTAACCATCACACTACCTACCTGCCCATTCTTTTTTTGTTGTTTTGTTAATCAGTCTATTATAAACTGGGTATCTATGAATTTTTTTCCTTTTCAAACAAGATTTTGAGAATTCCCAAATTCGTCCCACATGTTAGTGGAAACTAATATTATCTTCATAACTCAGGCACTCAACTGACTACAGCTAACTGTACTGGTGGTTTTAGCTTTATTTAAATTCCTTTTGATGATATTTTTAGTCATAAACTGTTTAGCTTAGGCTCGTAATGGTTGTCTAATACTATAATAAGGCTGCCAGTTATTGAAGTTTATGATAATTCTTCAAATTGGTCTCAGGATGGTCTTTGCCACTTCTGAAATGTGGTCATCTTTTTGAGTTTTATGTAGACCACTACAATGTCTTTAGTACCTTAAAACTTGTCTGGGTCAACCAGTGGTATGGTGGTTAAGTTAGCTGGATCCCAGATGGCCAACCAAATGGCTCAAGTTCCAGACCTGGTGTCTTGAAAGACATTCCAGGCGCATGTGTACAAGTGTACAAAATCCCTAAATGAGGGGAAAATGGAGGAGTCGGGATTGGGGCATGATCATCCCCCATTGGAGGGGCTTTCTCACTCCTCCCCTTTGGGTAAGTACATGTTCTTTCTAGCAAATTAAATAGAAATGTCTAAGAAGAGAAAATATTGTTAGAGCAAATTTCATCTAATTTAATGTTTTTTTAATTGTGATAAGACCCTTGTTAATTATTTGAGAAGTGCTTAAAATTAGTAATTTGAACCTCTGCTGATTATTTAGAAGCAAAATGTAGTACTTTAAAAAATAATAAATCACATCCCTTTCTTAGGTACAAAAAATGAAATGGGTAGGGACCAGCAGATGGTGTGGTGGTTACGTTGCTGAACTCCCACATGGTCAACCCTGATTCAAGTCTTGGACCTGGTGGCTTGAAAATCGCGACGAGTGTGTGTGCATGCCCAAGATCCTAAGAGGAAAAGGGAGGAGAAGGGATTATGGGGTGGCCATCCAGGTCTGGGACTCGAACCATGTTTGACAACGTGGGAATCCTGTGATGTAACCATTAATCCATCTGCTGATCGCCTCCAAAGTTAATTTTTAAAATGACAATTTCTTCTCACCTCACTGGGTTATCAATATTTTGATGGTTTACTTGTTACAATGCAAAAATATAGTAATGAGTTCGATATCTTATTATTTTATTATTTTTTCTTTTTAGGTTGCTGCCATGCATTGCCAGAACTCCACAAGGGAAACAGATGATGCCCAACCCTTAGACAGCCCTCTTTATTAGAACCCTGTAGTCAGTGGGAAAATGGAATGCCTGTTCTGGAAACTGCAGAGTCGAACACATAATTCTTATAATCTTGTAAATATTAAGTTTTATAAAAATTCAATATCAGGAGCCAGCAGGTGGCATGGAGTTAAAGTGACTGAATCCCACATGGCAGACTACCAGGTTCGAGGCCCAGACCTGGCAGCCTGAAAATCCTCCACGTGCATATATGTGTACCCAAAATTCCAAGAGGAGAATGGAAGAAAAGAGATTGTGTTGTGACTATCCCTGTGGGTAGGTAATTTCTCACTTTCCCTCTCTCTGAGTGTGTCCAAAATTCCAGGAAGGAGAAGAGAGGGAGAAATGGATGAAAAGGTATTGGCATTGTAGTGGCCATCCCCAATGGAAGCATGGGGGTTGATTTTTCACCCTCCACTCCTTCCCTGCGAGTGCACGTGCCCGCTGACAGAAAGTTAAAAAAAAAAAAAAGAAAAGATTTGCACACAATGCTATTTTACAATTTAATTTTTAAAACTATATTTTCATTAATATATTTATGTCATAAGATTTCTTAAAATGAAAAATGTCAGCCGCAATGCCTAATTACAGTATGCATCAGTAGATAACATATACAAACAAAATTCTTTGGAGTTCTAATTTAAGAGTTCTGTAAACGGACCCTAAGGCCAAAAGGTGAATTTCTACTGTAAGGTGACGTCTATAATGATGGAGCCTAATCCTTCGTGGGACGCTTCCCAGTGTCAGAGTGAAACAGGTCAGAATCCACCCTGGCTCTCTACACAGTCTGGGCTGCAGCGAGGCTGGAGGCAGGACCGCGTCTCTGGTCTCTCTGGCAACCGTCCTTCCCGGGTCTCGCCGACCGAGGCCTTCGTTCCTCTCCGCCCCTGATTGGAGCAGGCGGCTGCGGGGGGGCGGTCCATCGGGGCGGGGCGGGGCCTCACTTTCATCTCGGGGCCACTCGCTGGAGCGTGGTGACGTCACGCCGAAGGCCGCTGCCCTGACGCCCCGCCTGTGCATCCCTTGCCCCGGCCGGGGCGGCTTAGCTGGGGTTGTGGGTAGGAGCGGACCCGGGCGTCCTGCCTGGCGGAGCGCGAGGCCGGAGGGCCTGCAGTTTCTGACCTTCCTGTTTCTGCCCTGCGCTGCCCGGCGCGTCCGTGCTGCCGTCATGGAACTGGTTTTAAACCGAACGGATTACTTACAGGTATACCCGAGGGGTGGGGCGGGCGCCGCGCTGGGCGAACGCGCTCCCTGAGAGATTCGTTCTTCGCGGTGGCGTCAGTGGGGTCTCCGGGAGCGGATGCCGGGCGAAGGAGCCGAGCTGGGCGCTGCCCTCCTGGCATCCCTGTGGCAGGCAGCTCGGGCTGGCCTGTGACGGGCTGCGGCGACTTGCGGAGAAGCGACACATGTCCCTCAGTGCTGCTGCCCGCGGGTCCTGAGGATGCTCGGAATGCCCCGGCGCGGGCCCATACCGGATTACTCTCAAGGTCCTTCACCTCCTCCCGGCCGCCCGCAGCTACCTGTGGGCCCCTGAGTCCTGAATCTCCATCGCTACCTGCTCCCTTCTCCGCAGCGCTAGACGCTGGTTCTTACTGAGAGCTGGACTGCACCAGCCAGATCATAAGCTACGACCCTGCATAGAGCATCAGCCGTAGTTTATTCGAAGAGAAGAGCACACATGAACATTTAATCCTCATGCAGATGTTCAAAGTAGGTACTGTAAGTGTGAGGATCCAGGGGCACAGATATGGTAAATAATTTGCTTAACAGCTAATATTAGAGATGCTATTCGAATCAAAGTCCCGGACTCCAGAGCTGGTGTGTCTTCCAGGATTTCTTCCATCCTTTTTAGAATCGCCTCGCAATGCTCCATTCTCCTCTTTCAGCCATCCTGTTTTGGCTACTGGTGCAATCGTTTACTTGGTCAGTTTCCCTGGGGGTTATCTAGGTACTTCCCACCTTAGTATCTTGCCTAACAGGTTACCGCATCTTGCTGCTTATTTTTTATTTTTTATTTTTTAAAAATCCCTTTGTTCATAAGGCCCATGAATGAGAGAGAGAGAGTACCCCCACAGGGTTGGGATGCCACAATCCACCCCAGCCCCAGCCTATTTGGTGGGAAGACTGAAGAACTGAACTGGAAATCTTCCCATGTAGGATTGTCTTGGGAGCAGTTACCACTTACTGCTGCATCACCATCTGGCCTTTTTTTGCTTTTATCTCCTATATATTTCTTGAATCTGGCCCATTTTCCTCCTCTATTACCTTCAGTTTGGTTCTCAGTTTTTCTTGCTTGGATGATTGAAATACCCTTTTAATTGGGCTACTTACTGATCTCCAGCTTCACCCCACCATGCCAGCTTTTACTTCACTTGCTAGATGTTTCATATATACAACTCTGCACACATTATTTAAACTTATAATGCTCCCTGAAATGTGGAATAGTCATGTGTCTATACTATATGCAAGTTCTTCCATCATCTATGTTTTCTCCAGCTTCTCTCCCATTATTCCCATCCTCCTCCCCCTAGCTGTACCCCCCCAGTGACAGTTTCCTGTTGTACAAAGCATCTGTTATCATTCTCTATACCCTTTGTAAAATAATCTTCACCATCACTTAGACTGGATGTTATTGCCATCAGCGTGTTGACATTTTAGCGACTTAATTAATTTCCAAAGATCTTTTTTATTCCTTAATTAATTTCCAAAGATTTTTTTTTTTTTAATATGAGAGAGATAACTTCTACAGGGTATGGTCACACCACAGTCCCCTTTCTCCGTCCTGTTAGATCTTTGGCATTCCCACATGTAACAGCATGTTTCAGGCTGGCTGGGCCGGAAATTCCAACCATGGTCACCATGTGGTATCCAGCCGCTCTCAAGCAGAGTTACCATTGTGCCACAGAGTCAGCCTATATTTCCAAAGAGTTTTAGGCACTTTATAAAACATCTTCAACAACAGTATGAAACTGGAATAAGAGGCTTTAAATTCTTTTTTTCATGAAGCACCTTACCAGGAATGTCACATAATTATGTTTGGCCTGACAATTTTATAGGGTGCAGTTTACTGTTTTTGGTTGTTTCCTATATTCTAACTTCTGTGATATATTTCATTTGAAAGTTATTTCACTGCTGATAATAATAGTTACATCAGTAATTATAAACAAAAAAAGGCTCCTATGATCTGAATCTGCTGGTCATTTTATCCTCGAAGTAATAACTTCAAATGGTAGTGTGTCAGAAAGCATTCACTAGCCTCTGGTGTGTTTTCTTAGGTGGGAGTGACCTCTCAGAAGACTATGAAGCTCCTTCCTGCATCAAAACATAGAGCTACTCAAAAGGTATTGTACACCACTGATTTCTGCACTTCTTCCTTGCTCGGGCAGAGTGGCTCCTATTTCCTTCATTATTGGTAAAGAATTATTTACACTTGCTAGTGTTAGAAATAATTTCTTCTAATTTGAACAGAAGTTAAAATGTCAAGGCACATTTACATACAGTAATTTTCTTGGATGTTAAAATTAATGCATACAATTAGTAAATAGGGTAAACAAACTTAAGAGCTATTCTCCATTTTTTTTTGGTAAGAATTTCACACTGTGTGTACCAGATTATAAATATATATGGAAGAAGAAATAGTGCAAGAGGAGATAGAGAAAACACTTTCTTTAAACCTTCTCATGGCTTTAAGAGTCATTATGTCTTTTGATGTTGGACTTTTCATTCAACTAACAGTATTGAGTTATTTTCGAATTATCTTTTTTTTTTTTTTTTGGTTGCCAGGGGCATGTGCACATGCCAGAGAGAGAGAGCAAGCAACACCTTTCAAGAGGCATGGCCATACTGCAGACCGTTTACCTCCATATCTCCATCCTGTCAGGATTTGGGTCATGTGTGCACACATGCCCAGAGTATTGATTAAGCTGCTGGAGCTGAGATTGAAACCACAGTCAGCCATGTGGGATCTGGCTTCCTATGCATAGAGATTAACACTGTGGGGTCAGTGCCACCCTCACCTTTTTTTTCCTCTAAGACAGGGACTTGCAGTTGCAATCCTCCTGACTCAACTTCCCAGCTGGGACTCTAGCTATGTACGGTCATACTCAGTTATTCACATTTATTTATTTAATTTGTTATTACTTTAGGTTTGCTATAGGGCACATGCACTTACCAGAGAGAGAGACAGAGAGAGAAAAGGTGAGAAAGCCACCAGATCTAAGATTGAAACTGTGGTTAGCCAGATGGAAGTCCAGCACCCCAACCACCATGCGGTTCTTCTTTATTTAAGGCAGAGTCTCGCTGTGTTTCCCAGGTCAGGCTCAAGCTTTTGGTCTGTCCACCTCCATCTTCTGAGTTGCCAGGGTTATAGGAGCATGTCACTGCATGAGGTTCCAGCCTGCACAGCAGTGTCTTAGCAGCACAGCAGGGCCGCTTTCAATTAGTTTTATAGGAATAGTGATCCTTTGATTTCCACAAAACAACTGAACTTTTTAGTAAATTAGTAGGATATTTTACTAGTTGCAAAATAAATACTTTATTTTGATATATTAACATTTTATCAAGATAAATCAAAAGATTTGATTGTTGGGGCCAGCAGGTGACATGGTGATTAAAGGTGCTAAATTCCCACACAACTGATTGCTGTTTGAGTCCCAGCCCTGGCGTCTTGCTTTCTCACTTTTCCTCTCTCTCTCTCTGGTCAAATTAAGAAAATAATAATAACAAATGAAAGCAAATAAATAAATAATTATTTTTTAAAAAGTTTCGATTGTCATTTATTATGAAGTGTATTAGACCAGCACTTCTCAGACTTTTGGGTTTTAGTCTCGAGACCCCTTTACACACTGAAATTATTGAGAATCCAAAGAACTTTTGTTTATGTAGGCTATTTCTGTCAATACTTAACTGTATTAAAATTAAAACTGAGAAGTGATTAAAATATGTATTCTTTTTAAAAACCTAATAAGCCCATTACTTGTTTATATAAATATTTCTCTGAAAAATAATGCTTTTTTTCAAAGAAATTATTGAGAATGATATCATTATGTTACATTTTTGCCAATTCCTTGCTGTCTGGGATAAGCAAAGGCTGAGGATCCTTATATTTAACTTTCTGCATTCAGTCTGTTGTGATATGAAGGGACTTCAAACAGTTTGTGGAAAATGGAATTAAACTACAACTTTCTATTGGTGTGAAAAAATGTTGATATTTCTGCATAGGTTTTTCACAATACATATTTTCTGTGAACTTTTGAAGACCTTTCAAATGTTTTGGTTGAAATAAATGAAGATCCAGTTTGGAATACATAGTTGAACATAGGAAAGAGTAAATAGCGTTTCCCAATAGTTAAGGCTCTTCTTATTTGATTCTACGTCTAAATGTGACAAGTAGTTTCCTAAGTGTAAGTTGCAGTATGGAATCTGAAACTATTATATATGGATGAACCTTTTATACTTTGCTTTATTAGAATCCATTGGTCTGCCTTTTCCCTGCATTATTGTATGGCATCCAATAACTGCTATTTGAGATTACTGGTTCTTTGAGTTACACGTATCTTCCCAATATTGACTGTAGTATATTTTTTCCCAATAAAAAGGTTTACATGGGTCAGCTACAACCTTACTTGATAATCTGTTGGAAAACTCTCATAGCCTGCTGTTTTTGTCTTTTTTATTCTTTGTAGGATTATCTTTTTTCTACATTTTCTGATCTCTACCTTTGTTTCCCCAAACACAATTCCTAGGGCATAGTAACAGTGATTTTATATTCTCTTCAATGTATTGCAGGTGGTTGTTGGAGATCATGATGGGGTAGTTACGTGCTTTGGCATGAAGAAAGGAGAAGCAGTGGTTAGTATAGCTTTTTTTTTTCTAAAAGAGAATACTTCCTGAATACTCCTAGGTTAAAAATGTCCTAAAAAACAGACTGGGAAATGGGTCATGGGGGAAATGGTTATGTGAAGTGTGACACTGCAGGTGGCATAAGAATCATTGCTAGCTAGTTGGAGAGTGCCTTTGGTATTGAATCATGGTGTATTAGTTTTCTATGCCATGTTCTGTAAGTCCCTCAAATTTAGAGACTTACAGAACATATATTTATTATCTCATAATTTCTATAGGTCAGGAGTCTGGGCTTAATTAAATATTCAGATGGCTGCAGTTTAGATGTCAGCTAGACTTATGTTCCTTTCCACAGATAGCTTAGGTTCTATTCCAAGCTTATGCGGTTGTTGGCAGAATTCAGTTCCTGCTATTGTAGGACTGAGATCCCTGCTTTATCGCTGTCTGTGAGAAGGGGCTGCTCTAAGCCATGTGGTCCTTTCACAGCATAGTAACCTAATTCTTCAAGGCCAAAGGATGATCTCTTTAGTCCACCAAGATGGACCAGGCATTTAATATAATGAAACCATGGAGGTAACCATCCCATCACCTTTTCCACTTAATGTAGCCTAACCAAGGAAGTGATTACTGTTATATCATCATATTCGTGGTCATAGCTTACAGGTGGTAGGTCTGAGAAGTAGACTTTGATATTCATTATTTGCTGTGTGGAATCTACCAAAATCCGAGGAGAATGAAAACGATCAGAAACCCAATGTTTTATTATTGATACATCCTCTCAGATATTTTGTTTTCTATATATAAAGTCATGAAGGTGGGATGGAGAGAAGGGGATGGAACTATGCAAATAACAAAATAGAAAATAATCAGAAAAAAAGTTGTTTGTTGTTAAATAGAGACATGATTATAGGGATTAGGTTATATTTTTGCATTTTCAGTAAATCCTGAATTCCTTTCCTACTGAAATTTATAAAAATTATGAAGAAGCCAAGAGAGATTCATTTTAAAAAGATGATTGAAGTGTGAAAACATGTCCACTGGGCTTAATTCAAGAATTTGCCAAGTGAACTTCTGTGTCCATAGGAGCATTTTCTAAATCAGTACTTCTTAAACTTTAATATGTGTATTGGAATCAGCTGGGGGAATCTGGTTAAAATGTAGATGATCTTACAGTAGAAAAGGGGGTAGAGCCAGAAATTTTGCCTTTTTAATAAATTTAGTGATGTCTAATAGTGCTACTTAGTGAATCTAACTTTGAGTTGCAAGGATTTAGACTTTAATGATGTCTTGGGAACCAGCAGTTAGCATAATGGCTATGTTGCTGGACTCCCATGTAGTCGACCACGGTATGCGTCCTGGACCCAGTGGCTTAAAACTCATGCTGGGCGCGTGTGCATACGTGCCCAAGATCCCGAGAGGAGAATGGAGGAGAAGGGATTGCGGTGTGACCATCCCCCCTGGGGGGTGGTTTCTCGCTTTCTGTCTCTATGTCTCTGTCTGTCTGGCGAGCGCATGCGCCCTATAGTGAAAACCTCTCCAAAAAAAAAAAAAATGATGTCTTTAAAATATATGTGGGGATATCCCAAAATTTTAGGGTATTTAACCAAAACCCAGGATACCCACAAAAGTAAATAGATTTTTATCTAAAGGTGTTTGTATATAGTGGAACTTAAATATTGTGTTAGTTTAAAGGCATAGCACGTTTCATGGTAAAGGAAAATGCATACAGCAAAATCACTTGTGTACTTACTTTTTGTCCTGAATGATTTTTGCAGGCAGTGTTCAAGACTTTACCAGGCCAGAAGATCTCAAGGCTGGAATTAGGAGGGGTTCTTAACACACCTCAGGAGAAAATTTTTACTGCTGCAGGATCTGAAGTTAGAGGTTTTACCAAGAGAGGAAAACAGTTCCTCTCTTTTGAAACAAACCTCACTGAAAGCATTAAAGCTATGTATGTTTTTGTTTCTCTTTTAAAAGTTTTTCATATCCATTTATAATATGAGGTTCTGATTAAGTTTCATATCTTTTCATGTTTTTAATTTGCTAGGGGGTATGTGTGGAAAGAGACAGAGAGGGAAAGTGAAAGTGAGAAATCACTCCCCCATGAGGATGGTCATGCTGCAATCCCTTCTCCTCCATTTCTTCTTTTGGGACTTTGGGCATGTACATACATGTACCTGGCATGTTTTTCTAGCTTTGTCATCAGGGACTCAAATTACACAATTTGCACTGTGACACCTAGCTGCTTTAATCACCGTACCCCCAGGTGACCCTATGTATCATATGTTAATAGGCTTTTCAGAGAAATCAAAATGACAAAGGGTATTTTATTAGTCAGAAGCTTAATTTGACCTAGACTCCATACAAAACTGATTTGTTTCAGCTGTTTAATTGTTGTTTTCTTTGTAAAAACTTTATAGTATTTATGTATTCATTTTTAAATATATGGTTGTTTAGATTCATGATTAAGATATAAAGAAAAAAAGTGAAAGAAATCTCCAAATATATAGGTTCCTCTTCCTTGCCTGTCTTAGGTAGTTCTGGTTTAGAGGAAGCATCCTCATGTTAAAAAGCTAGTAATCAAAGTCGGTGACTACTGATAGGGTATAATTTCAGGTGAATCAGTAAGACTCTCATGTAAACATAGCTTCCTAATATGTGAAAGTTTGCAATTAAAATTTTAGTTTTAAATCATGGGGGCTGGAAAGGGGATCAGAATTCACTCTGGTTCCGTGTTTCTCAAATCTGCTACTTAGGAGAACCATGCAAAGCTTAAACGATTGATTCCTTATCCCATCTCATGATTATTAAATCAGAATAACTGGGGGTAGGGGTGTGTGTGTGTGTGTCTGTGTCTGTGTGTGTGTGTGTGTGGGGGGGTTTACTGTGACACCTAGCTGCTTTAATCACCGTACCCCCAGGTGACCCTATGTATCATATGTTAATAGGCTTTTCAGAGAAATCAAAATGACAAAGGGTATTTTATTAGTCAGAAGCTTAATTTGACCTAGACTCCATACAAAACTGATTTGTTTCAGCTGTTTAATTGTTGTTTTCTTTGTAAAAACTTTATAGTATTTATGTATTCATTTTTAAATATATGGTTGTTTAGATTCATGATTAAGATATAAAGAAAAAAAGTGAAAGAAATCTCCAAATATATAGGTTCCTCTTCCTTGCCTGTCTTAGGTAGTTCTGGTTTAGAGGAAGCATCCTCATGTTAAAAAGCTAGTAATCAAAGTCGGTGACTACTGATAGGGTATAATTTCAGGTGAATCAGTAAGACTCTCATGTAAACATAGCTTCCTAATATGTGAAAGTTTGCAATTAAAATTTTAGTTTTAAATCATGGGGGCTGGAAAGGGGATCAGAATTCACTCTGGTTCCGTGTTTCTCAAATCTGCTACTTAGGAGAACCATGCAAAGCTTAAACGATTGATTCCTTATCCCATCTCATGATTATTAAATCAGAATAACTGGGGGTAGGGGTGTGTGTGTGTGTGTGTGTGTGTGTGTGTGTGGGTTTACAGTTCTTCATTTGAATCTGATGTAGCCAAGTTGTACAAGCAGCCAGATTCTTCAGTTCTGTATAATGCACAGCTATTTACATAATTCCTTATGATGTATAGCTTGTTTCCTGATATTTGGACTATAAAACTTTAGCTGAGGCAGGGGATGCATTGTGGCAGACCCTGTTATGGGTGCTGTCTCTCTCTCTCTCATTCACGGAAAGGATAAATAAATAAACTTTTAAAAAATTCAGCTCCACCTCACATGAAAAGTTGATTCAGTCTAAGAATTAGAAAGAACATAGTTGTGATTATTATCAAAATTTTGTTAAATATACTTTTAAATGCACTTATTTTCATCCTTTTTCAAGGTAAATTTCTAAGGAAATAGCTTTTTCACCATTTATCATTTAGTTTAAACTAAGTTTACTTTAGGTGAGCTTTCCCAAGCAATGTGGTATAGCAGAAAGAAAATGAACTCCAGAGTGGAAAACCAGCTGAGTTGTAGTCCACCCCATTACTTAGTACTTTTGGGTTGCTGGGCAAGTTACATAACATTTCATATTCATGCAGACAGAGATAATAATGGCTCCTAGGGTATAGGGGTATGAGGATTAATTGAGGTAACCATGTAAATCACTGAAGACAGTGCTTAGTACCTCATACACATGTTTAAAAAGTTACTTTTTGTCTCCATATATAGACAAGCCAATTATCACTATCTTGTGTTTGTTTTCAGTTTTTCTGAGTTTAGTTTTTCTTGAGAAATCTGAAGCTTTAAAATCCTCATTTTCAGGGTCGGCAGGTGGCGTGGTAGGTAAGGTGCTGGACTCCTACATGGCCGACTATGGTTCAAGTCTCAGACCTGGCAGCTTGAAAACCATACCAGGCATGTGTGTGCGTGTCTCTAAAATCTCAAGAGAAGAATGGAGAAGGGATTATGGCATGGTCATCCACCTGAGAGGATGATTTCTCACTTTCCCTCTCATGTTCCCTGTCTCTGGCAAGCACATGTGCCCTATGGCAAAAACCTTAAAAAAAAAAAAAAGTCCTAATTTTCAGTTTTCAAAAATGAAAACTGTTATACTGAAAACGTTAGAAATTAAATGGGGAAACCGAGAAAAAAAAATTGTGTTCCTTATCTGTGATAAAATGGTAGTAAACTGTTTATAAGTAAACCATTTTGTTTTCCTCTCTACAAAAAACTGGGGAATTATCTGTGCTCTTTCAAAAAATATGGATGTTTTAAGTTACTATTTTAATATTCTCAGGCACATTTCTGGCTCAGACCTCTTTCTCAGTGCAAGTTACATCTATAACCATTATTGTGACTGCAAAGACCAACACTACTACCTTTCTGGGGACAAGATCAATGATGTCATCTGCCTTCCAGTGGAAAGAGTACCACGCATCACACCCGTGCTGGCTTGCCAGGACAGAGTGCTCAGAGTGTTACAGGTTGCGATTTACGTTTCATACTTATCTTAACTTTAGGTAAATGAATATTGATGAACATTGTATACTTCAGATAAATTGCTTCAATCATTACTACTTTAAATGTCCTACATAAAATTTTACCTAGAGATATGTTTAATTCATTCATTAATTATTAATTATTTTTTAAACTTGAGGCAAAAATGTTAAGATCTTTTGCAAGTTTTGAGATGGTCATATATGGAAGAAAAAAGGTACTCCACACACACACAGTTTCTGAGCTAGTACAATCAGAATGGGGTTCTTTTGTTGAAAAAAACCTTTCCCAGTTTTTTTTTTTTCTTTCTTCTTCCATTATGT